TCCACACAAAAAAAGTTGTGTGGGGGGATTCGCGTGAAAAATCAGATGAAAAAGAAAAATCGAACAAAACCATGCCAAAATTCAAAAATTAAGAAAATCTGCCAGTGTGAAGATTTCCACATAAAAAAATGACGGGGACATCGAATCCATAAAGGCCAAAAAAATTAAAAAAATTAAGCCAACAAAAAAAGAGCCGAATAGTTAACCCAAAGACATTGTCATGTGTGCTCTACGGGAAAAAAAATTTTACTCGAAATTAGTTGTAATTCCTAGTGAGAACTTATCACTGGAGTACAAAAAAATAATAAAAATCACTTGGGAAAAAAATTTCTCATAAATTTGACGTAATTTCCCAAAAATCCGGTCGATTTTCGAGCCAGGAGAGATTCAAACTTAATGTTTTCCAAAAATCGAACCGATTCCAGAACTGGAAACTCTCCTCTCTTAAAGAATGAGCTATAACAACTGTGAAAACAATCATTCAACCCGGAAAAACCGCACCAAAACAAGGTCCGTGAGAAAAGAAAAGCAAAGAAAAGGGAAAGAGAAAAGGATCCAAATGTATTTTCCATTTTTTTTTTCCTTCCTTCTCTTTTTTTTTCTTGTGCGCCTCGCGCAGGTGGAATCGAATTGCGAGAGCTCTTTTTCTTTTTCTTCGACTCGTTTTGGCTTCAAATCCGAGGATGATGATGAGGAGATGAAAAGAGAGGAGAAGGCTTGAAATCGCAGGAATTTCACTAAGAGAGATAATTATAAATTACAGTTGATCTATGGAAAAAAATGAAAAAAATACCTCCAAAAAAACGGAATCATCTCCATTGGAAGATCGAGAAATTAACTTTTTTTATTAAAAATCTCTGCAGACCTCAAAGACATTGATAAACCTTAAAACTTCACTGAATGCCTAAAATGAAAAGCTAAAAAATGAAATATTAAAGCTCTTAAGAGACTTCTGAAGCGAAAAATGGCCTAAAAGTGCTTCAAAAAATTTCTTTATAGATTTAAAGTTGTCTAAATGAAGAGAATTTGCAGAGCAGTACCAGGAAAAATGAAAAAAAAATTAAAAGGCCAGAAAAAGGGGAAAACTTTCTGCTAAAAACTGAAAATACTGATTTTAAGCACTTGAAACGTTAAAAAGAACTTTCTGATAAGTTCAAAAATCGCCGTCTCAATCAATTTCAAACAAAAATGAGGCTGCATCATCACAAAATCCAATAGAATGGACAGTTGAAAAAAAAAATTTTGTACTTTTTTTCTCAAAATAGTTCTGAAATTCCCCAGTAAAAAGCTTTTTATAGAACTCAAGCTACTTGAGATCTTTTGGAAAAAAAGAGAAAAATTTTTTTAATAAATTTTTTTAAAAGAAACAGGTGTTTTTCAAAGTATCCTACTGTGAAAGTGAACTTTAGCGCTGCAAATTAACAATTTCCCCTTTATTTTTAACTAAAAATATAGTTCAAAAAGCTCTAAAGACTCGCAAAATCCCAAGTATCCCCACTGTAAAAAGTAAAATTAAGTCCACAACTGCATTGGAAAACAGCAAAAGGGAATTTGGAGGTACGGGGGATTGAACCCCGGACTTCTCACATGCGAAGCGAGCGCTCTACCACTGAGCTATACCCCCATGTCTAGCCAGGGCTGCCCATCGCCGTCTAGTCACCTCGCGCGCTTCCTGATGCATTCGGCCTGTTCAAGTGATAAACTTTCCGGAAAAGTCTTGTAGAGTCTTTTTGTTTATAGAAATCAGACCTTAATGCTCATGATTGAAATTTCACGTTGATAATTCTCAAATTAAAAAAAGCCAGTGCAGTCAATTATCGGTTAAACGGCCAAAACTATCAGTAAAAAGAAATAATAATATTAAAATTGGAAAAAAAGCACTGACATCTTCTGAAGTCGTCCTGAAAAAAACGATTGTCACAAGCGAAAAAAATGGATATTCTCAGTCGGTTCTGAAAAAAACAATTGAAAAAAACTTACAAAATTAATTACGAAACACTTCCGTTCAAAAAAACGTTCCAAAAAAATTTGTTTTTGTTTTTGAATGGAAACTTTATATATTTTTCTATTTCCTAACATACTTTCATAGAAAACAAAAAAATTTGAGTTAGTTTTTTTCATTGAACTAATCAAAATTTTGGTGGTATGAAAAAAACACCGGCGAAAAATTCAAACGGCGACTTTTTCCGATTTTTTTCATATCGCTAGGGAACTTTCCGACGGCCACCTTTCCGACGAAACTTTTTTTCCGACTTTTTTTCTCGATAAACTCTTCGTTTTACATCTTCCTATATAAAGTAGGTAGTTTGTTCATAATTAAAAACACAAAGAAATAGGAAAAAAATGTTTATAGATGTTTTATAAACCGAAAAAAACAAAAGGGAAAAAAAGTCGCAAAAAGGATCCGTCGGAAAGGTGGCCGTCGGAAAGTTCCCTAGCGAAATGAAAAAAATCGGAAAAAGTCGCCGTTTGAATTTTTCGCTGGTGTTTTTTTCATACCACCAAAATTTTTAAATAAAATTGAAAAAAACGAAATTTGCGCGTAACAGTGCGTTTCGCGTGCATCGCGTGTATGCAGATTCCCATTTCTACAGTAGGCCCTAATTCGATAATCATTGGAAAATGACATTTATTCCTAGATTTTACTTCAAATACCGGATATAACTTCAAAGTAAGTCCTTTTTAGATCGTAATGTAAATTTAGCCTTCATTTTTAAGTGCTATTTTCGTGTTTCATGACCCCTACGGTGAGAGAGAAGAGGGCACAGACGGGTCAGACTGTTCCAAATAGTGACAAACAGTGTATTTAGGCTCATAACCTATTCAGCTCAAAGCTCCTGACATTTCCCAAGCAGGTGAACTCGAAAAACCTACTCATTTCTCGAATTCCCGCCATTTTCCTTCGTATATTATTTTTCTATAAACTCGGGAAATTCAATTTATTGTCGCTAATTCGATTCGAATAGTCATGATCCCATGAAAGACTCGAGAATAGTCCGAATTTTCCTTGTTTTTTGATTCTTTTCTCGTGAAATGGTTCGAATGTACCCTATATTTGATGGGTATTTTTTGGAAAAAGCGTAATTTTCTAGTTTTTGAAAGCCTATTCCGACCAAACATATCATTAGGAAAATATCTAACTCAAAATTTCTTTTTGACTATCGTTTATTTTGCCGCAAAAATTAGCTGAAACTTGCCGGGGATCGATCTGCAGACCCTTCCAGCGCTAATCAATCCTCTTATCCATTGAGCTACGACTGATTGCCATTTTCAGAAAGTGTACCATGTACGAAAATCCGACGGTTCGGGTTTTCTACATGATTTTTTCCCTAATTGGCACATTGTTAACCGTTTTTTGGATTTATACAATTATCACCAAATCAACGGCCGAGATGAAATTGTACAGTTATGCTCTACTGAAGTTGGCGGTGAGTTTAATAATTTTTGAATCAACTGTAAATTTTTTTCGAAAAAAAGGGAATTCGGGTCCATTTTAAAAAAAGCAATAGTCTAGAAAAAAGTTTCCAAGGATGGCTAAATATTAAAAAAATATTCACTAAAATCAAAAAAATTCGTAAACCCCTTTTCTATAACAAATTGGCTTAAAATTATACTTCAACTCTATTCAAATATTCAGCCAAAAAGTTTTATTTTTTTAATGACCCATAATCATTAGAAAAAAACTTCAAAAACTTGGCTCAACATCGTTTTTAAGCGAAAAACTAATTGATAAAGAATGCTTCATCAAACTTGCTTTTTTTGAATAAGCTTTCCAAAAAAATCCCAGAAACTGAGCCAAAAATTTGGAATTTTCATTCCTCTAATTATTGAAAAGCTATCTTTTTTAGAAAAAAAAACGCCTTCCAAAAATTTTTTTTTTAACTCGGACCTTGGTAAAGCAAACCGGACGCGCATCTCTAGGGACCAATTTAGCAGCGCCTTAACGTATAAGTGATCCCTAGAGGGTCTTAAAAACGTCCAGGGAGCGTTCGGCTTGCGTTACCGAGGTCCAAGAGTACGCTAACGCCACTTAAGTGGAAGCAATCACTTGAGTGTAGGACAAAAGCGCCGATTCTAAGAGCGCCGTTCGAATAGAGCGCCGGTCCGCAATGCGCCGTCGCGTGTATGCGACGTGTTTGCAGACGCCGCTTTCTTTTGCACCGAGTCCGTTTGCGCTAAATCGTTTTGCGCCGTTATTTCAAACTTTTATTTTTTCGCTCTTTTTCTATCATTGTTTATTGATTGTGTAGTACACATTCATATACAACTCGAATAATTTTGCGCCACCTGTTAATATGGACTTTTCTGCCGCATTTTCGAAAAATCTCGAACTATTGTTTCCAGAGAATGAGTTTAAAGTTTCGAAAAACGATTTTCTGCCGTTTCACGTCTGCTAGATTTGGAACTCTGCCTTACCTTACGCAGAAAATTTGCACCACAAAAAAAATCACTCATTATGTCGTTTAAAGCAATAATTTTTTTTATCCATTCTCTTTTCCTTTCGTTTTCTGTATTTTTCAAAATCAGGGGATCATATTTGCTTTTTTATTTGTACTTTGAAAAGAAAAAAGGAGAAAAAATATTTTACCTGGACCAAAGTAGACCTAAAACTCATCATTAACGGATGGCCCGAAAATTATTCGAGTCGTATATGAATTATTAAAATAATATGAAAAGAGCGAAAAAATAAAAGTTTGAAACAACGGCGCAAAACGATTTGGCGCAAACGGACTCGGCGCAACAGAAAGCGGCGTCTGCATACACGTCGCATACACGCGACGGCGCATTGCGGACCGGCGCTAAATTTGAACGACGCTCTAGGAATCGGCGCTTTTGTCCTATACTCAATCACTTGAAGGCGCTTACAGCCCTTAAGTGATCCCTAGAATTCCTCAGAAACGTCCGGGGCGTCCGGTTCGCATTACCGCGGCCCAAAACAGTCATTCAACTTTCATTGATTTTCACATAACCTTTTAAAAACAATTTTCCAGATAACGGACATGATTTTCAACATAATTCTGACGATCTTATTCTCCCCAGATGTCCTATTTCCATTGCCGGCGGCTGCAATGCGCGGATTTCCAGCCATTCAAAATGAAGTCTACGTCAAGGGGATGGTAAATTCGACTTGCGCGATATTTACAGTATGTGTGCGGAGCGGTCGCGTTGCGGTTTTGGCGCCAATTCGAAAAATAACAGATTTCCATTCACAATTTGAAGGATCTTTTTATAGAAACCCTTTTTATACATCTAAAAAAATGTCTAGTAGCTTTTTTTGAAGAATATTTTGTGTAAACTAATCGATAACACAAAAACCGTTAGAAAAAGAAACTTCAATTTCGCGCCAAAACCGCGACGCGACCGCTTTGCAAGGATGCAACGAAAAAAGGGAGTCTTTTTCCTTTTCCGAGGGTTACTGTAAGTCATATCTCCGCAAACTTTTCTTTTCCGAGAATTACTGTAGGTCGTATCTCCGCAAACACGCCAATTGCGGACTTTTACATACAGTATCCCTAGAAACAGAAAAATTCGCCGTTGTCGTAGCACCTTCGCAGGCGCACCCAAAACGCCGTTTTCAGACAAGAAATGGATTTTTTTTAGAATAAAATCAGGTTTTCAGTTCATTTTGACAATAATAAGCGGTATGCTGATGTTCACCTCCATCAATGATTGCTGTTATGTTCGAGCGATGACGATTTTCAACAAACAGAATGCTGTCGCCTACTTTTACTCCTACAAGTTTGTTATATATTATTTCATTTACTAGGTTCCTTTTCTTAGAATCGTTATTTTTTTGATTTTGAACTCCAAAAACTAAAGAAAAACGAAATTTTCGATAGACTGTACTGAAAAAAATTTTTTTAAAAAAATGCTTGAAATTTCGAAAGAAAAATAAGAACGACTTGAAAAAAATTCGTATCAAAAAGACCTTAAATAGTACTCAAAAAAAGCTCTTCGTCTCGAGACCTTTATGAAATTTTCCTATGCTCCTTTAAATTCCATGGCAAGTCATTTTGGAAGAGATCAGGTAGGGACCGCAGACCAATTTTCAAAAAATTTTTTTCAGCATTGAGCTTTGTATGGTTTGATAGCTGTTTCGATTCAAAACTCAGAACCGTTTAGTTTTTCGAAAAAGATTGAGGATGAAAAAAGTTATGACGAAAAATGTGGCGCGCCGCGCACCATTTTTTTAGTACTGAAATTTTGGTATTATCCATTTTGACATTTTTCTCGATTTTTCTTCTAGAACAAGTTTTGATACTGGTCTATTATGATGTAACAAATCATAATAGAGTGCTAAAATGATGCTCATCAGCTAGTTTGCCGAAAAAGTCGGTTTTTACCAGAAAACAAAAAACTGACGCTTGCGGGCATCGAACTCGCGACCTCAAAATGAAACTTCGTAGCGCACGCGCTGCGCCATGCTGTCAGGTCTAGCGAGTGGAGCCTCCATCCGCCATACCCTTGAGCCGTTTGAATAGCACAGATTGCCTATTTCAAAAATAAAAACTTGAAGTAATTCAGCTATTTTTATCAGAATATGTTTGCAAATCTTTACTCAAACTTTCCGTGAAAATTCACTTCGAAAAAAACTGTTTTTTTAGTGCTTTTTTTCCTCGTTTAACGATCGCTGCCTTAAAACGGCCCCGTAAATTTTTTTGGCAAAGACGAATTTTTTTATTTTATTCTTTTTAATTGAAAGATTTTTTTCACTAATAAATGTATATAATCGTTTAAAAAAACCTGCGTTCGGCCGCTTTTCTGTGTGATAAACGCCGCTAATTTTATTCTTTAGTTTCAAGAGCATTTTTTTGCGTATCACACAACTTTTTCAAGCACATATGCTGTGGAGAAAAAAATTTAAGTAAGCCCATGGTCTAAATTTTGAATAAACAAAAAAACTCGATTATATTCGCTTATTAACGATATTTTTGAATTATGACTTTCGGCACTCCCTAAAAATTTTTTTGGCAAAGACGAATTTTTTTATTTTATTGTTTTAAAATTACCGTTACTTGAATCAAAAATCATTATATAAAAAAAGAAAGAGTGCGTTCGATCTGAAAACACATGAAAAAGCAAAAAATGACAAAAATTTTTAGTTCCATTCACGTTTTTGTACGACATTCCGCGAGAACGCATCAAAAAAGCGTGAAATATTTTTTAAACGAAAGAGGAAGCTTTCCTGTACATGTGTGTCAAATTTTATTAGCCAGTTCCACATATTTTGCAACTACAACAAAATGAAAGTTGAAAACCAAAAAAAAGCCACTTTTTCTATCGCGAAAAGGGGCGTGGCTTTGCGGTCCCTAAGATCAGGAGAGCATAAAAGCTTAAGGATTTCTTTGAATGAAAAATAAAAAATAATAACTTAGAAACGCCAGAGTGGTCCCTAAAGGGGCAACCTTAATGCCCTTGAAGATTTCCAGTTAGTAGCTTGGAAAAGTGGCCACTCTAGGGATCATGCAAGTGGGTCCTGTACTTCTTTCCGTTACGCCTTTTTGTCTTTCGAACCATTAAAAAAATCAAAAGACCACTATAGAGGCCGCTTGAGCTTTAAGGATCATACCCTGGACTCTCATAGGGACCACCTCACTTTCAGCCCTCTAGGGGGCACTATTTTCTCCCCCATAGGGGCCGTTTTTCTTCCTAACCCCTCAAGGGACCACTTCGGCGTTTCTAAGCAAGTCTGTCAGCTTTTTCACAAGTTAGCTCTAAGAACTTTGATGAAAAAGAAACTGATGAACTGGGAAAAATTTTAGTGGCCACTATAGAGGCTCGCCAAGGACTACTTGGAGAGGACTCTAAAGTGGTCACTAAACCCGCCTCTATAGTGGCCACTATTTTCCGTTTGAGTCGCCACTTCAGTAATTTTTCATTCAGTATACCTTCCAGTAACCTGAAAATTTTAAAACAAACCGATTGGACCAGTTATTTTGATCCCTTGACCCCTAGAGTGGCCACTAAGAGTGGTTTAGTAGTAGCACTTAGACCTCTATAGTGGCCACTAATTTTCAACCCCTTGAGTGGCCACTAATTTGACTACTATAGTGGTCACTAAAGCGTCAAAACCCTATAGAGGCCACTAAAATTTTCCCAGAAAGTTTGAAAAATCAAAAAATCACCAATTTTCAGAGGAATCTTCCTTTCCGTCCTTCGAAACGTCGTTTTTACGCTCCTGATTCTGCCGCCAATGTTGTATGGACCCATCAGCACCAAGGTTTCTTAATATATATCCATTTTTCTGCATACACATCGACGCAATCGTTCATAAATTCAAAATTGCAGGAATTCTTGAGAAGAACAAGAGAAAACGGTGAAATGCGCTACTTGGGATCCTACGCCAAAGACCCAAACATGGTCTACCTGGCTTTCGACTTGGACAATTGGATCGTTTATTTTCTCAGTGAGCTTTTTAATTTTTTCAAACTCTCCCGACTACCAAGCGTTGCGGTCGCGACGCGGTTCTTGGCGGGAAATGAAATTTCAAAAACAAGGCGCTTTAATAATAGTTCTGGGACAATTTTTTTTCTTTCATGGATTGATGATTTGGAGCTGCAAAATGGTTATTTTTGAGGCCTTCGGGAGCTGCAAAATAATTATTTTTACGACTTTTGGGAGCTGCAAAATTATTTTTACGACTTTTGGGAGCTGCAAAATTGAAATGAAGGCTCATTTTTGGGAGCTGCAAATTGATACTGTTATTCATTTTTTGGGAGCTGCGAATTGTTTTGTTTTTTTTTTACAACCTTTGGGAGCTGCAAAATTAGCACTTTGATCATTTTGGGAGCTGCAAATTGTTTTTCGCGTCTTCTCATGATAACACTTTACAGAATAGATGAAAATTCTTCGCAATTTTCCCAGTTTTCGAACTTTTATTTCCCGCTAAAAGCCGCGTAGCAACCACAACAAGTACTTTAAATCAGCAAAATTGACAATAATTAATTTAATTTAGTTCTCGAACTGCTTGGCGGCCTTGGATTGATACATTTTGGCAACTTGGCGGCGTCTTATTTGATGCTTAGGGTTGGTTTTTTTCTCCACTCCACTATAATTGAAATGAAAGTTTTGAAAAACCATAACTAAAAAAATTCGCGGGCACACGACAAAAAAAGTGAAACTTTCTAAAAACAAAAAGTAATTTTTTTGAAACTTTGAACTTGGAAATCTTCATCTTCACACGAAATTTTTTTCGGCTAAATTTCAAAAAAATGATAGCAAAGGGAAATCATCTCCTTGTCAGCAAGGATTTTCTTTTTACATAATATAATCAATCTAAATCTTGAATCACAGAAAATCAACGCGACGCGAGAATACATGTCGGAAAGAACTTTCAAACAGCAGAAACAACTCACTTGGATGCTCATTTTTCAGGTTTGTAATACAAGAATCGTATTGAGTTTCAATCAGAAAACAAGAAAAAACATTTATTTGAAACAAAAAAATGACAAAAAAATGCGTAAATCCACCTCAACATGCGCGGAGCTGTGCGTCCCTCGGTGCTTGCGGACTTTCCAGCCTACCGTAACCCTCTTATTCAGAATTTATATCCAATTGTCGGTTGTTCGATACCAGTTTTGGTCTTCGGTTCAGCTACAATACTCGGGATCGCCGAAGTCACTTCCAGCGACTTTTTCAAACACTTTACCGTGCTCTCAATGCGACTTTATCCATATATGAGCGTCATTTTCAGGTAAAATCATCATTTTTCCTCAAACTTTCATGAAAATTTTAGTTTTGTATTTCGTTCGGCCATACCGCCAATTCTTCAGAAGGATCCTCAAAAGAGTTAGTTTTTGAAGTTTCTCATTTTAACTGCTTATTACTCATGTTACAGTCAGTTCCCTTCCTTGGTCAATATATCGAGGAGAAGACGGTTTTCGTGGATATTCGCACAGTTTCCGTTGTTCACCCGTCTGTCCGACGTCCAAAATAAACCGCGACGCGACACGCGTCGCGTCCAAAGCCATTTCCAATTTTATTGCCGAAACACGGATATTAAAACTATATGACTTTATACATACAACGTTCAACGTTATTTTGTTAGTATTCTCGTGGAAAAATCCGACAAATGAGGCAAAAAATGACATGAAAGGTTTTCGGGGACTGAATACATATAATTGAAGGGCCAGTGACTCACAGGAATTTATCACATAAAAAGTTACAAATAAATTTTCTCGGGTGGAATTTTTCTCAAACGTACTCGTGACCTGTGCACATTCCCTGAAAAATGTTTCTGAAACTACGGTAACAGTTTCACCCTTAAGATACAGTATGTCATCATTTACCTACAGTACCTTTTATCCATTCTTCCAAGCTAAATCTTTGATTTTTTTTTTCAAATCATGTTTACTTGGAAAACGACTAATTTTAGAACTAACCTTGGTAGCAACTACAGTACGACTTGAAAATAAGGATTACTGTAGGACTTTGACTACAGAACACCTTGATTAAAACTACCTTCTCGACTACTGTAATCAATACTCTGCTGGTAGCTTTGTAAACTTCCAGCTCTTACAAAACAAATTCTTATGAATCCTTAGACTACTGTAAGCAATATTACAGTAACAAGGTACTTCTACAGTATGCCAGGCAAGTGGAAAATCTCCAGATCATTTTCGACACGACGAAAAGAAATCAAGTTTCAAATTAAAATACAGTAATTCTATCTCTATCGTTAGGTTACTGTTGAGCAAGTTAGGCTTGAGGTAAGACTACAGTAACCCTTGAAGACTTCTAGTTAACTACTGTAGTCAAAAAAAGAGTGGAAGATGTTAAATTTTTAGTAACGACTCGAGGAGTTTCAATTTCACATACAGTAACCCCTATTTCTAGTTTTAGATTACTGTAGAACTTGTTCGCGCTAAGTTTTGACTACAGTACACCTTGAACTACTGTAGTCAATGCGAAAGTGGAAGAGGCTAATTTTCCAGTTTCCATAAACTGTACAGTAACCCAGTCAGATTACGGTGATCTCACCATGGCGTCCATGCCGCGCATCCAGGCCTGCCACTCAAGTTCACCGATTTCCCAGTTGTACATTTCAACTTGGGAGTTGCATCTGTTGACGCCGCCGCCGCCTTGACACGTCACCTTGTAGGCTTTCTCGACGGCTTCTTTGGAAGGTAGCCGGATTTTGTCCAGGTTTCCGTTGGCCATGCATCGGACCTGTAGAAGATATATTTCAAAGTTCTGGGATATCAAGAGGAATGGCTCAAAGCTTCGGTAGAAAAATCGCTTTTCTCCGAGCTACAGAACTCTTCCCTTCGATGCGCGCGGCCTATCTTTGTGCATGCGCCTTTAATATGACAAGCTAAATTAAAGGCGCATGGACAGATTCTGGTCGCGTGTACTGAGAGGAAAGCTTCTGTAGCTCGGAAAAAAATGGTGCCTCATTTTCTTGGAAACGTATTCATTACGAAAAACCAAGAAACCATTTTTCTGCTTCTCTGCGTCACTCAATATTGTGCACTCTCTCATCTCAATTTTTTTCGCGGAAAAAATATGACTTTATGAGGATCAATTCTGACAAAAAAAAATTAGAGAACTTTCCTCTTTTTCTCTGCGTCTCTCTATCGCCAGCGCTCTCTCCCTTTTTCCAGACTTATGGAAGAAAAAAAAAGTCCAAGCTCTAACTCGAGCCGCAGCGTGACCGCAACGCGTTGAGCCATTCCAAATGCGACCGAAAAGTGATTTTTACCTGAGTCTCACAGGCCAATATCAGGTGGAAAGTGTAATGAAGGGCTTCTTCGCAGGTTCTCCCACAAACGACGAATCCATGATTCCTGAGGATCATCACGTTTTTGTCGCCCAGGTCGGCAACCAGGGATTCTTTTTCGGCTTCCTCGTTGACGATACCCTGGAACCGATTAAATCTGATCCTTTTCTACTCACAGAGCGTTAAAAAAAGAATTAATGTTCGAAATTCCTTTTTTTTTAACAAGATCCTCCCAAGAAAAAGGCCCTTTTTAAGGTTTTGAGGGACTTTTATTTATTTCTAACTTCAGTACGCCTTGAACATGATTCATACTAGATTACTGTAGATTACTTAACTTTGAATACAGTACGCCTTAGCCTAAGCTAACTATTTCCTTTCAATTACGGTAACCCTTGAACATTTTTCCACTAGATTACTGTAGATTACAGTAATCCTAACCTTTGATTACAGTACGCCTTGGCCTAAGCTACTGTCTTCTATCAACTTCAGTACACCATGAACATGGCTTCATTAGATTACTGTAGATTACTTAACTTTGATTACAGTACGCCTTAGCCTAAGCTAACTATTTCCTTTCAACTACGGTAACCCTTGAACATGGTTCCATTAGATTACTGTAGATTACGGTAAGTCTAAAGTTTGATTACAATACGGTTCCTAATAGGAACCATGTCAGATTACTGTAGAATACGTTGGGCCTAAACTTTACAGTACACCTTGGCCTTAACTAACTACTTTCTTTCAACTACAGTAACCCTTGAACACGGCTTCATTAGATTACTGTAGATCATAATAAGCCTAGAATTCGTCTACAGTACACTATCCGATTACTGTAGGCAGTGTTCTTCTGGGTAGCCAGTACAAAATTATTGAGGTGACGATTTCTTGCACGCCTTGGCCGCGACGGGGGTCGAACTTGTGACCCTTTGGGCCGTAGACAAGCTCACAACCTGGCGCCAAACTCCAACCTGGGGCTCCCACTCACATGATAGTCGTGATACGCGACGGGGCCGACGATCATGCTCTCCTGGCAGATCGGCTGAAGGCCGCATTCCATGGCGGACACGGCAGCGACCGCCGGGGTGTGTAGATGAACAACGCAGATGGCGTCGGGCCGAGCGGCGTGTACGGCCGCGTGGAGGTTGTAGCCGGCCTGGAAAAACAAAGTATGACAAATTCTTGAAGCTCGGCATTATACCCCCTTGGATTGATCAGTCTCAGGCATGTCTAAAGGACATGACCTCCGTAAAACATTTACGAGGGGGCGGGCGAATTTGAACCATACAGTACACCTTTTCATCTACCGTAACCCCTCAAAATTCCCCGTTTCAACTTAAAAAACGTACACTGTTCAATCCATACTTTGTCGATCCATTGTCCAGAACTTTTCCTTCCAAATTCACTTTAACCAGGGAGGCGGCCGTCATTTCGGCGTACAAAAGGCCGAACGGATTTATGAGGATCTCGTCCTGTGTGTTGGGTACTCGGACCTGCAATTCTATCAATATGAAACAATTTATACCATCATCCCTTTTTTTATCATTTTGCAACATTCAAAAATTTTCGAAGGACTGTAAACTTCTAACAAATGCGTCAGATGTAGGATAAAAAAAAATCAAAGTCAAACGGATTTTTTAGAAAATGTATAAATATCAATTCTTATACAGTACAATTTTCATAATGAAAAACGCTTTGAAAGGCTTGAAAAACCCAAAAACGGGTCTTCGCGGCGGGACCCTAATAGAATCAACGTATGCGCCTTTAAACACCTCATTTTCAACTTGGTAATGTATTTTATTAATTTTGATCTGTTGACTTCTTTCCAAAGCTACTCGCAGACACATGACTTTAAACAACCCTTAAAAACAGCTCTTCGCTTCGAGACCTAAATGCAATCTGTCCATGCGCCTTTAAACATCTCAAAGAGGATTTTGTAGTCTTTTTTAATTTTTTAAGACACCAAAGCTTTTAATGATCTAAAACAACCCTAAAAAACGACTTTTCGTCGCGAGACCTATAGAAAATTGCATATGCGCCTTTAAACATTTATGCAATGAACTTAAATTTTTTTGAACGAATTTTATTAATTTTGATCCGTTGAAATTTTTTTGTAAGTTTTTAAAGGCTCATAAGCATAGAATGGCTCCAAAAAAACCCTGAAAAACGGCTTTTCGTACCGAGACCTTTATCGAAATTGCAATTGCGCCTTTAAAAGTCTCAGAGAGGATTTTTTTTTAGAACTCTGTTTGAGTCTTTTCAAAGCTGTTCAAAGGCACAGAAGCTTCAAACGGCTCAAAATAACCCCAAAAACGATTCTTCCCCTCGAGGCCTTTAGCACCTTTTTTCCTATGCGCCTTCAAACTCAGAAACTACTTTTCCCTGAAACCCACCGTAATATGATTGAAAACGCCCTGACTCCACTTGAAAATATCGGCCAGTCTATAAAAAGACGCCAATTTGTTCCTTTGCCGTCGTTCTTCTGGATTCATTTTTGGGTCGGTGACGTCATCGATTGGTTTTTTACAAGTGTAGCCTAAAATGGGATATTTTCATCAAGATAATTAAGACCTTCCCCTATGAAAAAAAAAGAAATTAATAATTTTTTTCTATAAGTCGGAAAATGTCAGGAAAAAAGCCGAAATATCCGGTCTAAAAATCCCAAAAATCGAAATCAAGTAATTTATATGGTTTATAATCCGAAAAAAACGGCATCAAAAAGACGAAAAAAATCAAACTTTTTAGCCAGAAAAAAACTTTATATATTAGAAATAACTTGGGAAAATTCAGAAAAAATTAAAAAGCCCTTTCAGACAACTTCTAATATTACTTTTGCATTAGAGAAATGCGAAAAACATGATGAACTATAAGATTTGAAAAAAATTAACAAATATTTTAAAAAAGTTACGAATTCGATGGATAGACAAAATAAACTGGAAAAAATTTAAAAATAAACCTGAAACTGGAAAATTAAGCTCAAGCCAGAAAAAAATTCAAAAACTTGGAAAAACCAACCAAGATTTGGCATAGACGACATTTTTCACTGTAGAACTTGTACAAAAAAACGCGGACGATATTTCTGAAACAGCAATGCAATCGAGACGATCGTTCTCGGAGAATCGGCACGGAAATGACGGTGATTGGGACTGACAGTTGGTCGGGTAAATGTTCAGTGAAAAAAGGAAAAAATAATGGTTCGTTCAATGGAAAAATATCAAGTTCAGTGTTCGTCATGGGGCACTAAAAATCATTTAAGTGAACCCTTGAGTTTATTCTATTCGATTTCAATAATGATATATCTTAAATACAAAACCAAAAAAGGAAGATTCAAAAGTTAAGTGGCCGCTTTAGTGCTCCTAACTACGTTTTAGAGTACCCTCATCTTAATAAATTATAAAAAATCACCTCAAAATGACCACAAAAATGGAAAATCCCAAGTACTCCTTAGAGAGTAATTGAAACTACTCAAAATAGCTCAAGCAAAAATAAACTTCTGTGCTTTTAAATCGCTAAAACATTCGAAATTATTGCGGAACTAAATTAATAGAACTAAACAGTATTTCTAATCTAATCGTTGAAATACCACGAGAAAATTGATATCGAATAAACAATATGATGTTTTGATTTCCAACAAGAAAGTTCTTTTCTCCTCTTTATCATTTGTGGAACCGAAATAAATAATCGAAAAACAATGAGAAATTGATCGAAATCAGGCCATTTTCATTTTTCGGCGGAAGAAAAGTGTGCAAAACATGTAAATATTGAATTGATTTAAATAAAAATGTTCCTCATCCAAGAAAGATCAAGCAAAATCTGGGTTTTAAAGTAAACTTTCCGACTTTCAAAATGGATAAAATACTCATCAAAATTTCCAAGATATATTAATAAACTCAAAAGCTTTGAAGAAAAAAAAGAGAATTACAAAAACAAGGAAGAAATTTTTTCGAAAAGTGCGCGTCAAAAAAACATTTTCGAGTATATACGCGGTGTTTGCACAAATCTCGCCTACAGTACGCCCACAGGCCTCAAAAAAATCAAATTTCTTCATTTGAAATCATTTTTTCTACCATAAATATTCAGAAGTCAAGTAAAAAAACCGTTGTTGAAAAAGGAAACCAGTTCATTTTTATACATTTCAAAAACGAATGACGCCACTTCCTGGGAATTTCATAAATTCCAAGACAAAAAAAACGTTCCCCAAGCATCAAATATCATTTTGAGGACACGTGAAAGTCATAAAATCGGAATTTTGTGAGAATCAATAGAGAACAATTTATTGACATGATAAAGGTCCAGAAACAAAATTCCCGTAATTTTAAAGATCCATCGGTTGAATAGAATAAAATACTCTACGATAAAACAAGAGTAAAAACATTGAATAAATATAAATCAAAGTGAATGAGTTAATTGTAGGGTTTAGGAAGGACAATTTCGAGTTTATTTTGAACAGAAAAGCTTCAAAAAAGTCAAGAAAAGCTTTAAAAATACTGTGAAGTCTCGATACTTCCGAAGAACTGCAACAAAGAAAAAACCGTTAAAGAATCATCGATTAACCGCAAAAAAACCATCGAAAACACCAAACAAGCTCAAGCAGCCATACACAAACAGTGCACGTGGCCGTCGTTGTTCGATACGAAAAAAGGTTGTATTTTTCTGTTTACTCCAGTCTCTGAGCCTAATCATTTATCATCCGTTTGCTCTTCTAACAAATGATCGAATGATCATTTTGCAGGGAGCGGAAGGACAATAAATATATAGAAATTCTTATCTTGCAATGCCACTTTCGACAGATGTTTGGTCAAAAACAAGGTTCAGTCTATTCACGGCTAAGGGGGCGTGGCTTTTCTCATTTTCGTGTCAGGACCCTTTTTCGATGGCTCAAGTCAACCGTGAATCAGCTACATATAACTAATGGTAAGGGACACCAGAGTGATCCCTATAGGGGTAATGGGCAGAAATAACCCTTATAGTGGACTAAAAAGCGGCTTTCAAAGCTCAAGTGGCCTCTATAGGGTTTTTTAATTTTTTTCTTCAGATTCAAAATTAAAAACATTAACTTTATCAATACTATTAGCATATGACTTAGAAAAGACACTTTTGCAAACTTGAGTGTCCCCTTTAGTGCTCCTTTTACCTCTGAGGGTCCCTAAGGTTGTCCCTATAAGGATCACTCCGGTGTTTCAAAGTAAAACTTGAAAATCGAGGCTATGGAAAAATTCAGAAAACAAAAAATCCCTTCAGCAGCCATTTAATTTGATCAATCGCGCTCCACGGCTAAAGGATGAATTTTGGTTGTTAAGTAAGGTAAAAACTATGAAAAATCTCTAATTTTAAGCAATTTGAAAACTTCCTAAGCTTCTCAACGATCAAAAATTATGCTTCAGTGGTATTCAAAGACAAATACTTATATTCAGCGGGGAAAATTTTTGGGAATAAATGGGCGGCTTTGCTGATGTGCTGCTGGAGAATCAATCGATAGATCTCGAAAAAAAGCTGTCCATCGACTCAATTTCCAACTGAAAAAAAGAAATTCATTTTTTTCTTGGAAACTATTTTAAAAAGAAGTTAGTGATGCTAGAGATTCTAGAGAGAGGGGGAGCTAGAGAGCATGAACAAAATGGAGAATTAGACAGCAAATTCTCCATTTTTTTCCCATACTCTCTAACTTCTGTTCATGGAAGCTAGAAGCTAAATCAACCACTCTTTAAAAAATACTAGAGAGCACAGAAAATTGGGAGAAGCCATACAGCGAAACATTTCTCTACGCCCTCTTCGTTTTACACGCTCTCTAAATCTAGCGGAAGATTCGAGTCCTGGCCGTCTGTAAATGACAACAGGTAGTCAACATTTCTCTGCGTCTACCCTTTTTCCATACTCTCTACCTTCTATCAAAAAGCTAGAATTCAAAAAAAAAAAGAGAGTATGGGAAATGAGGAGAACGTCCCACAGAAAAATGTTTCTCTGCGCCCTCCGTTTTTACATGCTTATTTTTCGCTGCAAGACTCAACATGATCGAAAGCAAATGCGCTCTAATGCTAAATCAGGATTTTTTGGTTTTTTCTCATTTTTTTTCTTAAAAAAACTCACAGGTATCAAGGTGTCAACGCCGTTCATCAGGTCTTCATGGTAGGTGTCGATTGTCGGCAATAAAAGGCCTTTTTTCTGTAATAAAATAATCTACATCCTCAAGAAGAATCTTTACTTTTTTAGGGTTTTCTAGGCTGAGTTTCCCTAACTTGACCATATCTCCAAATCTCAAGGAGAAATTTGACATTTTCATCTACTTTCCAAAATTTTCAGGTCATAGTGAGCCCTTTAGGGGTTTTTAAGTCATAGTGAGCCCTCTAGGGTTTTTTTGAGTCTTAGTGAGCCCTCTAGGGTTTTTTGAGTCTGACTGAGCCCTCTAGGGTTTTTTGAGTCTTACTGAGCCCTCTAGAGTTTTTTGAGTCTTACTGAGCCCTCTAGGGTTTTTTGAGTCTTAGTGAGCCCTCTAGGGTTTTTTTTGAGTCTTAGTGAGCCCTCTAGGGTTTTTTGAGTCTTACTGAGCCCTCTAGGGTTTTTTTTGAGTCTTACTGAGCCCTCTAGGGTTTTTTGAGTCATAGTGAGCCCTCTAGGGTTTTTTTTGAGTCTTAGTGAGCCCTCTAGGGTTTTTTGAGTCTTACTGAGCCCTCTAGGGTTTTTTGAGTCTTACTGAGCCCTCTAGGGCTTTTTTTGAGTCATAGTGAGCCCTCTAGGGTTTTTTTTGAGTCTTAGTGAGCCCTCTAGGGTTTTTTGAGTCTTACTGAGCCCTCTAGGGTTTTTTGAGTCTTACTGAGCCCTCTAGGGTTTTTTGAGTCATAGTGAGCCCTCTAGGGTTTTTTGAGTCATAGTAATCCCTTTAGGATTTTTCGAGTCGAGTTTCCCGAACCTGAATATATCTCCAGATCTCGCCGAGAAGCAGGAAAGTCTCGTAGGCGGTGGCGAACTGCTCGAGGTCGCAGATGTAGATGAACCTCTCATGCAGGAGCCCGCCACGCGCCGCCAACATTACCCAACGGTGGAGCCTTTGTCGGCTCTCTTCCGACATTCTTGCCCCCTCCGGCGCTATCTGCATTTTCGAATTAGATCATATAACTAACTTTACGCGGCTTGAAACGGCCAAGTCGCAGTAAAAACCACTAAAAAGAGCAATTCGCCTCGAGACCTTTATAACACTTGACTATGCTCCTTTAAAAACGTTAGTAAACTTTCAAATTGATGTTAATTGTTGGATTTCTACTCGATTCGCCTTTACAAAAGGAAATATTCGATTTCTAACATAAAAATCCGAAAATAACATCAAAAAGAGCTCTTCGCCTCGAGACCTTTATGGCTTCTCTGACCATGCTCCTTTAAAAATCATAGCGAACTTCTGTAAAAACCACACGATTTCTGACGTTTCCGAATGATAATGTAACGGATACCGTTGGATTTCTATTTTTTAACTCATGGAACACCAGAGAGGTCCCTAGAGGGGCGATCTTAGGGACCCTTGAAGATTCCCTCGAGGGATCACTTTACCATCCCCTATAGGGACCACTAAACCTTGCAAAAGTGACCCCTATAGGGGACATGCTATTCAATTATTGTTGCAGAAGGAGAAGCGTTCCCATGGGTAAAGAAGGAAGATCCTATAGGGACCACCTAATCTTTACCCCTATAGGAATCACTTTTTCGTCCCCTACAGAGGCTGTTTTTCTCTAACCCCCACAGGGACCATTGAGCTTTAGGAACATGGACCATAAGCCCCTTTAGGGACCACCTAAGTTTTTGCCCTACCGGGATCTTTTTTTCAAGATTTGCCCTCAAGAATCACCTCAGCGTCTTTCATAACTTGGGCCAATTGGGCCTTAACCAATGGCATACAGTAGGGATAACAACGGGTCTCGGAGAGAATTCTCAAAAGTCCGTCGCAAAGGGGACTCGCGTCGATCCGGCCATTCACCTCGATGTACCTGTAATTATCAATTTTCCAGGTAATCTTTTTTTCTTCAAAGGTACCTGGAAATAATCTCCGATTCATCATCCCAATCACCAAATTTATAATCGCCGACGACGGCGTTTTTCGTCAGGTTTTCTGTTAGGAGAAGGGCCTGGAAAATCGAAAAATGATCCTTTTTTTGTTTTCTTGGCAAAAGCGTCCCACAAAAACTGCACAATTCAAAAAAGAACTTGGAAAAAATAGCCTCGCAAAAAAAATGTTTATGCGCTCCACGGATAAATCAAAGACAAATATTTGAAGTACTCCTTTGATTCGAAACGTGTGGGCCGATAAGATCAGAAAAAGGCGCAAAAAATTGAATTCGCGATGGAGCACACATTCTCAAAAAACATCGGCTTACATTTTTTCAATTTATCCATGGAGCACAGAAACTAGAACATTTTTCTTGAAAAATCAGAAGTTATTTTTCTTCCAAACGCGGACTTCAACAAAATCAGAGAAACGGGCAAAAAAATTTTTTCGCCATGGAGCACACATTCTCGAAAGTCAACTCTTTTTCTGCGGCTCATTTTCAATTTTTTTCAAATTATCCATGGAGCATAGAAGCTGGAACATTTTTTTGCCGCAGTTTTTTTAAATGAAAAAAATTTTTCTTATTTTTTTTGTCCGCTTGGCTGATTTGAAAATTCATCTCACAAAAATGCCAAGTTTGAATGGAAATTCGAGAAAAGAGTCTTTAAAAACAAGTTTATGCGCTCCACGGATAAAAAAAGTTGGACCTGGAGCTTGGAGCTGAACTTTTACATTTTGAAAGACAAGAAAATTTAATTTCTCCATTGAGCATACATTCTCAAAAAAGGGCTATTTTTCGCGGCTCATTTTCAACTTTTTCAACTTCTCCATGGAGCATAGAATCTGTAAAATTTTAACCGCAACTTTCTTTTCAACTTTTGATTTTTTTTTTTTATAATTTTATCCTACCCTATGTTACAGAAATATTTCCTGAAAAAAATGAAAGAAAATGTGTATTTATTCCCATTATAACGTATCATTTTTTTCTTCTACTTTTTTTCATAAAAAAATAATTCTCCTTACCAATTGCTTTCCATTTGTGAGTTGAGTCTCGATACTTCCAGTCTTACACATCGTCCTCAGGGCGTCCAACAGAACACAAAGCCTTTGTCGTTCATCCTCCTCAAATCAATCGATTTTTCAAGGCTCTAAAGAGCTTTTCACGGCTCTCAATGACCGTGCTTAAGGACGCCAGAGTGGCCCCTAAAGGGGATACCTTAAGTGCTCTTTAAGGTTCCCTTATAGAGACACCCTAACCTCTAAAGGGGACCCCAAAGTTTGCAAAAGAGGCCTCTCTAGGGGCGCATATCAGTCGTTTATTGCTATGAACTCTATGTGCAGAAGCATTTCCACGGGATTTCGAATAAAATATTAATCGATAGAATTTTATCATGGGCTGACCCCTACAGGGACCACTTAAGCTTCATTAACTTAGGGACCAGGCTCTAAACCCCTATAGGGATCACCTAAATGTTCCCTCTTTTTAGGAAGGACTATTTCTTCCTCTGTAGGGTCTGTTTTTCCTTAACCCCTAAAGGGACCACTCTGACGTTTCTACGTTTCTTTCGGCGCAAATTAAAAAATTCCTGGGGGGTTTATCTTACTTTTTCTTTTTTCACATGCCTTCAAAGGAAGTGCTTTGGCATTTATATTCCATGAATTTGAAATTAGCGCCAAAACCGCGTCGCGAACCGCTTCGCACGCCGAAACCGCGACGCGACCGCTCCGCGAGCCAAAACCGCGTCACAACCGTTTCGCACCCCATTTCAGGTCGCGAAAAAACGAATTTCCAACAAATGAAGAACGAAAATTCTGAAAAATGGAAACCATAGCGATCTCCTCGGCCGACTCTTCGTCAACGCCGTCGAATTTCCTCTTTAGACGTCCGTTTCTAGCCGTCAGAGTACCACTATGCGCCATTTTTGCTGCCGAATCGTTCAGACGAAGTTTTCTGAGGGCCGCGATCGTCGAGGGGCCTTCCTGAGGTGGAATATAATGTGAAAAATTGATTATTACTAAATTATCCTCAAAGTTCTTGTAAAAAAATGAAAAAAATTCTATTAAATTCTTAACAAGGATCTTATTGAAAAATCGGACAAAAACCCCTAAAAGGGGTCCCTAAAAAATCTAAAGACCTTTTTACCCTCGTTATTTTTTTAAAGAACATGAAGAGTAATTAAAAATTCAAAAAAATAGGTAAAAAAATTCAGATTCCGCGAGACTTTGAACATTTTCTCTTTCATTAAAAATCTCTGAATAGAGAAAAAAAGTGATTTTTTTATCAGTTTCCAGGGCATCTAAAACCATATTAAAATCGAAAAACTTCTTCAAAAATTACAGAAAAAAATCCTTGGAGAACGAAAAAAATCGACAAAAAAAGGCTTCTTTTCTTGAAAAAAATTCGAATTTTGGCTCAAAAATATTTTTTTAAACTAAGATTAAACCATGAAATTCGCTAAAATTCTAGTTTTCATGGGAAATTATTAAAATTATCATTATAATCTATTTCAGCAAATTTATCGCCTTCAAAGTTTTTCAGAAAATTTTTTTCAGACCTGCAAAGCTTGAAAATTATTTTAAGCCCTCAAACTTCAAACTTCTCAAGCCAAAAAAATCATTTTGAACGATTTTTTTCTTTTTCCCTCACCTCAAGTTGCTTAAACTCGTCATTTTTGGTCAAATTCGCCGGGATATCGTCCAAATGTTCGGCCCGTAAATCGACCGTTTCCCCGAAAAGGCTGTGGGCGTTCTAAAACTCCTCTATACTATTTTTTTAGATTTGTTAAAAACGAACCTGGAAGCATAAACTGACGAAAAGTTCGATAAATAACGGAACAAATGGGAGCATTTGCTGGTGTAGATGATTTCCGTATAGAAAAATCAAAATGGCCGATCGGGTCTCTTCGAAAACGCAGATCCCTTGGTCGTGTTCTAGAAAAGGAAATATCTCCTATTTTTCGGAAAACTCCGACATAGGCAAAGTGGAGAAGGGTGGGAAAGGGAAATATTCTTTTTTTGCTGCCATTTTGCGCCCTTCCATCGGCTTTTGTGCACCATTTTTTGCAGCCTCTCTTTTTTCCACTATTTTTTTTAGATTTTCGTTCTAGAAAAAATGGAAGGCTCGGTAAAGGGACTCTTTTTGCAGCCTTTATGCGACCTTTTTTGAGCCTTTTAGCAGCCATTTACCAAAATTCCTACTTTGCCCGAGTATGACGAAAATTCTAGAAAAAGTTATTTCCTCTAAAATTATAGATCTGCTGAAGGGGAACCTTCAAAGGTCCTTAAGGTTGTCCCTATGAAGACCACTCTGAATAGAAATAACAACTTCAGCTCTGGGGGCTTTGAGACAAATCCCTTAACCTCTGTAGGGACCTCCTAAACTTTACTCCACTCAGGAGAATTTTTCGGTCCGCTATAGGGGCTGTTTCTTCTTTCAGCCCCAAAGAGACCACTCTAATATTCCTAATTGAAGCCTGTTTCCCCCCTGACTCCTACATAGACCACTCGAGCTTCAGGGACTGAGAAGTCAGATCCTAAACCCCTATACGGACCACTTTATCGTACCTTCTAGGGACTGTTTTTCTTCTACAGGGACCATTTGAGCTTTAGGGGCTAGGGGCTCAGAACTTGAACCCGTATATTGACCACCTCAATTTTACCTCTTTAGGTATCACTTTCTCGTCACCTATATGGTCTTTTTCCTCCCCTAACCCCTTCAGGGACCGCTCTGGAATTCCTAAAAAGAGCCTGTTGTTTACCCTAACCTCTATAGGGATCACTCTAGAATTCGTAAGTAAGAGCTGCTTTCCCTTAACCCTTATAGGGGTCACTCTAGATGTCCTAGGTAGGGTCTGTTTTTTTTTTTCCTGACCCCTATAGGGATCACTCTCAAATTACTAAGTAGGACCTGTTTTTCTCCCTAACCCCCATAGGGACCACTTGATCGTTAGGGGCTAACGGGTCACACCCTAAACTCCTATAAGGACTACTCTCCTATAGGGGCTGTTTTTCCCCTAACCCCTATGGAGGCCTCTCTAGAACTCCTTTGTAGGGTCTGTTCCTCCCCTTAACCCCTGCAGGGGCCACTCTAAAATTCCTATGTAGGGTCTGTTTTTTTTTTCCTAACTCCTATTGGGATCACTCTAGGATTACTAAGTGGGACCTGTTTTTTTTTCGAACCACTATAAAGACCACTTTACATGTCCTAAGTATTGCCTGTTTTTTTCTCTAACCCCTATAGGGACCACTTGATCATAAGGGGATAAGGGCTCAGACCCCAAACCCCTACAGTGACCACCTCATTTTTACCCCTTTAGAGATCACTTTCTCGTCATATATAGGGACTTTTTTCTCCCTAAATCCCTTCAGGGGCCACTCTAGAATACCTATGTAGGTTCTGTCTTTTCCCTAACCCCTATAGGGACCACTCTAGAATTCATAAGTATGGTATGTTTTTCTCCTAACCCATATAGGGACCACTCTGTAGTTCTTAAGTATGAACTCCCACTTCTAGGGTTATTTGTGGGCCCTAAATATTCCCCCCTTCCCCCATCCCCCCCACTAAAAACTCACCTCTTCCAATCACGGACAGGGCCAACTGCAGGAACATTGCCAATTTCGACAATAATCGGTACAAAACTGAGATCTCCATGAGGACTTTCCGGTGCTGAAAATGAGGATTGTAGTGGGAAAATACGAAAAAAGAACAGAGAGAGAAACAATTTATTACTGACATATTTAGGTTTTGGCGAGTTTATGGCAAAAACGGCCGATATTAACCGATAGCCGAGCCGGAAAACTTCCAACGCTTTTGGGACCATTTTGCTCTGAAATCAAGAAGATAAGGAACTTCTTTTTGTCTTTCTGAAGGAAGAAATTAATTTTTCAGACCTTAAAAAGATGAAAAAAAAATCTCTTAACAAGTTTTTAAGCATATTTTATTCATTTCTTACTTTTCACGACATTTTCTATCAAAAATTTCTCATTTTTTTGCGATCGATAAAAAAATGTACTCGAATACTTCAGAGTGCAAGAGTGGTCACTAGAGGGACCACTTATTGATTCTCCTTTATCTGGGTTTAAAAATAAGTTGAATGAGAACTTTTCAATCAAAAAAGGCAATTCCTCAATTATTAACTTTTTCCGATGGATGAAAATCAGGAAAGGAACTATAATCAATCACTTAGAAACGCTATAGTGGTCCCTAGAGGGGCTCCTGTACCTTTCCCCTCTAGGGACCACTATACCTCCTCCTATAGGGGGCACTAAAACTTGCAAACTCTAGAGGAGCATCCTAGTACGTCCATCCAACTCTCAAACCAGAAAAAAAAAAGTTTAAAAACCCCTGAAGGGACCACTCAAGCTTTAGGGGCTCAGGAATCAGGTTTTTTTTCCTGTATGGACCACCTAAGTTTCAGCCCTTTAGGGAACTCTATATTCCATTCCCTATAGGGACCGTTTTCTTGCCTAGCACCTCTAGGGACCACTCTGGAGCTCCTAAGAAGAAGAATTTTGGCTTCGATTCAAATTTTCTGGACCCTTGAGCCCTCTAGGGGTCCCTATTTCGTCCACTAAAGGAACTTTTTCCGGGGTTTTCTTCTCAAATCAGCTTCACTAATTTCTTTTTTGTCTTAAAATCCAATAACTTCGTGAAAAATAGCTCCAAAATAGGTTCAAAACTCATTTTTCCATCGATCAATAATCGTAAAATTGAAAAAAAAAATTATCCAATTACAAAAATGCTCGATTTCACCTCAAATTCCCATATTTCTACTAATTTTCAATTTTTCCAATGCTTTTTTTGAACATCAAAGCTCTAAAAAAGAAAATTTTCCGCATTTCAAACCACCAACATCGATCAAAATCCGTCGCCAAATCGATCAAATCTTGGAAAAATCGTCGATAAAGCCGTTCCCAGGTGTTCCCTTTGGGTAAAGTCTAAAAAAATATTTATTTTTTTCTAATTTTTATTGATTTTCTAAAAAAACCCCCAAGAAGGTGATTGGATGAAAATCGTCGGCCATCGATTCCCAGTCCAGTAAAATTCGGACATTTCGGGCCAAATTCGCTCGCATTTCGTTTTGGCCTTCGGGAGCTTTAAAATGACATTTTTGAGTGGATTTATACCATTTTTCTTTTGAAAAACCTAGGTCCATATCATTTTCGACCATCATTTTCAAGGCGAACATTTCCTTGTAGAATATTTCCATGATATTCGGGAAAAATTTGGCCGTCGAGGTGAGGAACGCCGTGAACAGGTAGAGCTGGAAAAGGAAATACTTTTCAAAGAGGTTCAAAAAATGTTCAGATATCCCTGAAAAGCCTAAAAAAAGAACAGAAAGGTTACAAAAAAAGTTCCAAATTTCGAGGAATTCACGAAAAAAATCTTAAAAAAACGCAAATAATTTTTCACTATTTTTGACGAATAAAATTTTTTTTTCCAAAAATTTTGAGATTCAGAAACTGAAATTTATGCTAAATAAAATTTTCCTATCTTCAAGTTGGAAAAAAAACTTCCTACATGGCTTGAAAATCGTAGAAAATTCATATAAAACGGCAATTTTCGACCTTAAAAACTTCAGAATAACGAAGGATGGGAAAATAATCAGATTTTTGACGAAAAAACCAAAGAATTCCGAACTTTTTTTCTCACCAAAAAACCAGCTGCTTATCTTAAAAACGCCAGAGTGGTCCCTAGAGGGGTTAGGGGACAAATTTCCAAACTTTCCCGGACCTTAGAGGTCTGGGGACCCCCATCTCCCCCTTCAAGGGTCACTACAGCTTTAAAAAATGGGCACTCTAGGGGAGCATGCTAGTGGTCCCTATAGGTCTTTTTCAGTTTCAAATTAAATTAGGACCCCTATACTTACTACTACTACTTAGATGGTCCATCTTCGCTTTCGACCTTTTATTGCCTTTTAGTGCCTTTTATTGATCGAAGCGTGGACCACACGTTTTCCAGAAGATCTTATGCAATCGGTCATCCAGTGTCCCCTTCAAGTACCACCTCTACGCGTTGATGGGGAGGCAACGTCATAAATGGCGGCTAACGGTACACCGGTCACGCAATTCGGCTTGCTTCTGCTAACAGAATGGGCGGTCTTTTTTTGCCCTGGCAAGGCAAAAAGGATAATAAGACCACAATTATGCTATAACACGTTCAACACCACGGATGGAACTTTTTCGCAAGAATACCAGTCAACCAGAACAACACTGGACCCCTATAGGTGCCACTTAATTTTTAGGGGACCTGATCCCCTATAGGGACGGAATGAGCGTTAGCCCTATAGGGGCACTGTCTTTCCCTAAGCTCTCTGGGGGCCACTCTAGGGTTCTCAAGTGTGATTTTGTGTGTATTAGGCTGCAACGTTTTTTTTCTGAAGTAACTTTTGAGTTCTTTTAAATCTTTAAAGGGTCGAAGAAACCAAGATACTGCTCTTAATTTTCCAAAAATCAATTTTTTGTTAAAATATCTCTGAACAAAATTTTCTCAACCGTATGTTTTCATAATAATTGAGCCAAACTCATCACAAACTGGGATATTATTGATTGAAGGTCAATAAAAATCAAAAAATAGCTTTTCGCGACACATTTCCCTACAATCCCCTCTGAAAAGAACCCACAAATTGTGGTTTGTCCTCCGGAGTCGTCATCAGAATTCTCAAGACGATTTCCGCCGCTTTCATTTCGCCAAACGCGATGGCGACCGCGTGTAAATGTCGTATCAACAGGGTGGAACTGTAAAATTTTAAGATTTCTCCGAATTTTTTTGATTTTCCAGTACCTTGTCGTATTTTGGTACATGGAATCGATGAGAAATTGGAGTTTCGGGCCGTGGGAAAAGGCCAAAATCGAAGGGTGTTCGGAAGGGCACAAATCGGTGCCCGGGGAGTGGGCGATTCTCGTTATCCGGCCGACCATCGAGTTCTAAAAACTTGAAAATTCGAATTTTTCATGTTTTAAAAATTCAAAAAGCATATTTTTCATGTACTAAAAAGTCATAAATTCGTATTTTTCATGATCTAAAATTCAAAAAGTATGATTTTTAAAACGTTCTGAAAACCCGAAAATCATGTTTTTCACGTTGTAAATATCCAAAAACTATGCTTTTCATGATCGAAAACACTCAAAATTTATATTTTTCCTGTTCTGAAAAGACAAAAATCAGGTTTTTGTTGTTCGTAAAGTTTCAAAGATTATATTTTTTTTATTGTTCGGAAAAACGCAAAAATTATACTTTTTCATAATCGGAAAAAAACTCGAAAAAGTATTTTTTTTCTCTCTAAAAATTTCAAATTGTTTTTTTTAATATTCCAAAATTCTGACTTTCATAATCAAATTTTTGTTTTTTTACTGTACTAAAAAAACACGAAATTATGTTTTTTTCACGTTTTAGAAACCCAAAAATTATATTTTTTTACCGTTCTAAATTTTAAAAAAATTGCGTTTTTTTTACGTTTTAAATTTTCACTAATTGTATTTTAAATGTTCGAAAAAAACTCAAAAAAATCATGTTTTTTTCTACCCTTAGAAATCTAAAAAAATAAGGTTTTTAATGACATTTCACAGTCCCCAATGTATTTTATTCAGATTTCAAGATTTTTCAACAGGTGAAATCTCGAAAAATCGCGTGAATTTGGATAAATTCCGAAAGATTAACAAAAAAAGGTTTTTCTTAATGATTTTTAAAGAATAAAAGAGCCTGATAAGATGAATTGATAGTGGGCTAATAACTTTAAAAATCAGCCAAAGTTGCTTGAAATTGAAAAAAATATATCTTCTCCGCTTTTTCAAAACATTCAAAAAAAATACTTTTTCACATTGTTTTATATCTTTCTGAACCTTATTCTCAGGAGGATCTCTCAGAATAAATCGTTTTATTATTTCAAATCCTCACCAGAACATTATAGGCACCGCCTCTCATGAATTGATACTCCTCAATATCCCGTTCCGATCTGTTGAAGCCTGGAAAATTTATTCTGAAGCTGAAAAGATTTTCTTGAAACCACAGAAAAAAGATAATCTTGAAGCCGAAAACGCTTGAAAAGAGTTCATTTTTCCTCGAAAAAAAAATAGAAGAATCAGCTTCACAATTTCATTTTGAAGTCACGAAAAGTTCTACGGCAACCGTCCGAAAATTCCCGTCGGAAAGTTTGAAATAGCAGACGAAAAGCCATTTTTCAGTTCAATTGTGAGTCATACGAAGCTTCCGCTTTTTCAAACACCCGAACAAGGATTCTTCTTCAGTAGGCAACGCTCATTTCAAACCAAATATCCAACCTTTATAAACATCCTGGTCGAAGACGAATCGGACGAGGGTTTCGAAGACGGTTCCGTGGGTGTTGGCGTCGATGACTTCGACGACTTTTTGTAGGAAATCTTTATAAGACGGCTGGTTGGCGAGGACGATCGACTGGTCCACTGATAGAACTTGTCGGACAGCCCGAACCAAGTTTTGAGGTGTCACTGAAGATCTTTATTTTTTTGCATTTTTTTCATGGATAATTCTGAAATTTGCTGGAAATTTGCAAAGCTTGCAGATTCTGAATATTAAAAAAAAGAAAAAAGATGAATTTCTGCTTGATTTTTTTGATGAAAAATGGCTGAGAAATACTTCAAAAAACGTTAAATTTTTTAAAAACTACAAAATCTGCCTTTTAGTGGAGTGATAATGTTTAAAAAGTCTACAATCTATCTCAAAAAAATTCAACTTTTTTTCAGAGCTCACGGATTTTTTTGGTAAAAAAACGGCCGGATTTTTATGAATTTCTGAGATTCCCGAGAAAGAAAAAAATCTAACTTTAAGACGTCAAAAAGTTCTAAAAAGCATCAAAAAAATGTGAAATCTTTCAAAAAAATCAACTTGATAGGAAAAAAATCATCAAAGCTCTAGAAGTCAAAAAAATTCTAAAAAAAATTCAAAAATGTTCAAAAAAATATTTAAAAATCTGATATTTCTCTCAACTTGATAGGAAAAATCATCGACCTGACTGAAGCTTCAATATGAGTTCCTAAGTCCTCAATATTTCTCACAATAATCTTCCGGATTTTCTTTCGAAGCCCAGGGATTCCCTAGAAGTCAGAACGGCCAATTACTATGAGACTATGGAGCTTCATGGTTCAAAAAATTCCCCGAAAATTAATTTTTTTCGGGCTTTAAGGTCTCAAAACTATACTAAATGGCAAAAACATCCGTATAGCTGATAGTCATCGAGAAAAGGGTCCTAACTCGAAGAACCTTCTCTCATGAGAACAACTAAACCTAGACTGAGATTCTGGGTGACCAGAAGCCTCAAAGTCTCCATGGAACAGGTGACGAGTTTCAGGAAGAAGGTCAAGCTCAAATTCGAAAAAGCTTTCGTTTCGGGGTCCAGGTCGCAGTTCAGACTTTCCTAAACGAGGTCATTTTGTTCCATGATCGAAAACTTAGTATGAAACAGTAAAATTATTTAAAAATTGCATTTTTTTTATGTGATATTCACCGGTCCTCTACTCTTTTTTCCTGCTCGACTGCGGAAATTTTGAGTGGCCACTTAAGAGTTTTGAAGCTTAAGGGGCCACTATAGTAGTCAAACTAGTGATCCCTCAAGTGGTCTCTTTATAAGAACCATTGAAAAGTTCAGAGGCCACTATAGGGGTCTATGAACCATAACTGGTTCAATCAACTTTATCTTGGAATGATCTACTGGAAAAAAATCTAGTGGCCACTCAAGAGGTTCCTCAAGGACTACTTGGGGAGGGCACTGAAGGGGCCACTTTAATCACCTCTAGAAGAGCCACTGTAGTAGTTTTAGGGGTCTAGGAGAACTAGCAGGACTTCTAGAGAGGCCACTAAAATTGAGCCACTTAAGTGGCCACTAATTCAACTACTAAAAGGGATCCCTGAAACTCCAAAACCCTAAAGTGACCACTTCAACTTTTTCCAGTAAAAATAGAACTATAGTGGCTTTTAAAGAGGTTAATCCTAAAAAGTCAAAACCCCAAAGTGGCCACCGAAACGTCAAAACCCTAAAGTGGCCGCTAAACTGTCAAAACCCTAGAGCGGCCGCTAAGTTGTCAAAACCCTAAAGAGGCCGCAAAGTTGTCAAAACCCTGAAGTGACCACTTTAACTCATCCCAGTAAAAATGGGACTACTATAGTGGCTTCTATAGAGGTGCTCTTAGTGGTCACTTCAGTGTCCTCGAGGAGCCACTCAAGTGGCCACTTCCAGTCACCTTCAACATGTTCGTCACAAGATCCTGCAGTTCAGGACTCCTTTTTCGCATCAGAAAATTGAAAACGTCGGAAATGGCCAGGAACTTTGTCTGATATTCCGAATGGATCGTGCTGATCACTTGGGGCTGTGTCTAAACGGATCAAAAATCAGAAAATTGAAGATTTTCATTGTAAACTTGATGAGATTTCTTCTTGAGGGCGATGTCTTCAACGTAGATTTTGAACTGTTCGGCGCCGGTCGCCAGCAAATGTTCGGCTATCAAGCTGGGGAAGCTTCTACTGCAAAAAAAAAGCCTTGAAAAATTGAGAATAGTATTCAAATTAATTCACATGTTCGTAAAGCTACAAAACCACTTTTCTTTGCATTTCGCACTCAAAACTATTTTTTTCTTCAACTTTCAAAGCTTCAAAATCATCCCAATCCTTCAAAAAACCACGAAAAATGAAGCCAAGGCTAATTAAAGCGTTTTCCAAGAAGCCTGATGGTCAAAAATTTTAGAAATTTCCCTTATTAAGACATAAAAAAATTTTTTTTCAGAAGGTTCTCAAACAGATTTTTCCTAATAACTCAAAAAAACCCGCAAAAATACAAACCAACATCTGATGAAAACGTGTATTCTCCTTATTTTAGTCGAAAAAAATCCAAATAACATTCATTATCAATTCCTAAAAGTCCTCTTCCACAAGATTATCAAGCGTTTGGTTCTTTAAATCTTGAAAAAAATTCTGAAAAATCCTGTATTTTACATCAAAAAAACTCTTCTTTTAAGGCTTAAAAATTGTTTTTTTCACTCAAAAAAATTCATAAAAACATAAATCTTAACAAATCGCATATCTATAGTTTTAAAAATTCTAAAAAAATGGCATAGTCCAAAAACTGGCTATTTTTTTAAAAATTTAAAACAAATAATCCTGGTTTTTAAACGATTAAAAAGCTTCTAAATCATTAAATTTCCTTAACAAATGGATCATCACCTGATAAAAACGTGTATTCTCCTTATTTTAGTCGAAAAATTTCAATAATCTCTTCTAACATTCCTCTTCCATAGGGTTATCAAGGGTTTGGTTCTTTCTAATCATGAAAAAATTTAAAGAAATGTCCATTTTACTACTAAAACTCTTGTTTCAACATTTTTATCTAGCTTCAAAAGCACACAAAAAACGAAGCAAAGCCTAAAAATCTTCTTTGAAAGCTATACCAAGCCCTAAATTTTTTTTAATCTCTCAAAAACCCACAAAATCCGGTACCTAGCCTAAAATTCTAGTTTTAACATTTTTATCTAGCTCCAAAAGCACATAGAAAACAAAATCAGGGCTAAAAATCTTTTTTTTAACCTTTACAAGTCATGGATTTTTTTCCATCCACTAAAAAACCCACAAAATCCAGAGCCAGGGCTGTAAACCTTTTTTAAAACCTTTAAAAGCCATAGGTTTTTTTTTTTCCATCTACTCACAAACCCACAAAATCAGGTACCTGGCCTAAACATCTTGTTTAAGAGCTTAGATTTGCTCCATTTCCTCAAAAACCCACACGATATGAAGCCAGACCCAGTTGAAGTGCGCCCCATGGCGAGAGGCTTCGAAGAGCATTTTCATACAATTTTCGGGGACCCGATCGATGAGGAATTGGACGCAAAGGTCGGTGATTCGGATGAGGGCGGCGATGGGTTCGCAGGACATGAACACCTCCAGGAGGTTCTCGGCGCCCGGGCCGGCCTGCAGGGCGCAGGGCCGCCCGCTGTTGTGCATGCTCAGCTCCGAGGTCAGCCCGCAGGACCACTGGAAAGGAAAAAAATAATGGAGTTTTCAAGTTTTTGATAGTGAAAAAAAGTTCATTTTTTTGAATTTTTGTCGGGAAAGAAGATTTGTAATCTTTTTTTCTATGCTGAAATTCTATTATAAGGTAACTTCTGAAACTAAAAAAAGAGCCATTTTCAACTAAATTTTAATGAAAAAAACTGTTTTCTGAGCAGAATTTCCACGAAACAAAAAAACATTTTTTTAACAAATATACAACGAAAAAAAGCCATTTTTCAACATAATTTCTACAAAAAGAAGTCAATTTCAATAATTTTTTTCTCCAAAAAAACTACGATTTTTTTAACAGAATATCATTAGAAAAAAACATACTTTCAATAATAATTTTTCAGCAAAATTTCTACAAAATAAGCTATTCTCATCAAAAATTTGAGCGAAAAAAATATGAACATTCTTAAAAAAACTAAGAACTTCCACTGAAATTTCTATAAGAAAGTACATTTTTTTCAACTAAATTTCAATAAAAAAACACGATTTTGAATCAAAAATTCTACAGAAAAAAATTATTTCCTCCGGAAATTTGTTCAAAAAAACTATAAATTTTTTTAGCTAAATTTTACAGAAAAAAAGCAGTGATCAACAAAAAAAGCAATTTCATCAGAATTCCACTAGAAAAAAACGGCATTTTCAGCGAAATTTCCTTCAGAAAAACTTAAATTTTTCAAACCAATTCGGCAAAAATTGAACAAGGAACGTCATTTTTCTACAAAAATTCCTTCAATAAACTACAATTTCCAACTGAATTTCCACAAAAAAATGTCAATTTTCAACCTAATTTTTTTAAAATTACAAATTTCATCTATAAACTCTACAGGAAAGTACAACTTTCAACTGAATTTTATCAAAAACCACAATTTTGAATTGAATTTCTACAGAAAAAAATGCCATCTCCTCATGAAATTTGTTCAAAAAAACTAATTTTCAGCTAAATTTTACAAAAAAAGCCATTTTCAACCCTTTTTTTCAATGAGAAAAAACCAATTTTAAGCGAAATTTCAATAAAGGAAAGCTGTTTTCATCGAAATTTCTTCACAAAACGGTCATTTTTAACATCTTTTTCAATAAAAAAATTCTAAATCTTTTTAATTTTTCTAGGAAAAAGGAGCCTTTCTAACAGATTTTTTTAATGAAAAACAAAATTATTTTTGAACACATTTTCTTCGGAAAAAAATCATTCAAACCCAATTTTCATTGAAAACCAACCGTCAGAAGCTCCGTGGCCGCTCTGACACTCGCCGTATCATTCAAATACTTTTCAAAAAAACGGCCACAAGTTGGACCACGGCGTCTTTTTTTCAACGGCAAACTCCACGGCTGAAAAATTCGCTTTTTTTATAATTTTTTTCAAATTTTTCATTACCAAACTGCGGATTTTCCCTCCGATTAAAAAGACAAATGAGTGACTTCGTGAATCAACATCCCCGTGTAGTAAAAAAACGGCCGGCCTGGGAATTTATTAAAATGAATATTCTTTTCGAAAAAAAGCCTTGCTGAACAAGGTTAAAAATCACTGAACTGTACAAAAAAATAATAATTTTAGAAGGCGAAATTTATTTTTTTACCAATTGAATGACAAAGCGTATGAAATTCAAAATATGCCAAAAAAATCACGGAAAAATTAAGTTTTCTAGGCTTTTTTTCAACGATTTTTTTGAATTTTAACAAAAAAAACTAGCAATAATAACAGCTACTAGGCTTCTAGAAATCAAAAAAATGTCCAAAAACGAAGAAAACCAAAACTTTCTATTTTAGGCAGTTTTTTTGCAAATAAAAAGCCTAATCAGAGTTTTTTTGATTTTTTTGACATTCTAGAAGAAATTTTTAAAGCTGGAACTAATAAAAAAATTTGGAGCATAGGAAAAAAATATAGTGCAATTTCAAAAAAAGCTGAAAAGTATTTGAAAAAAAGAGATGGCAGAAAAAAATTTTTCAATCCATAATCGAACGTATTTTATCGAATTTTCCTTGGCTCAAAGCTGTTACTGAAGATTTTTGAAGACGCATAGAAAAAAATATTTAAAAAAATTTTTTTTTAACCTTTATCTCTGGTATTTTAGGTATACAAGTCTTCTGCATTTTTTAAGATCTGAAAAAATTTTTTTTTGGCTTAAAATCCACCTTGTCGAAGGTACGGCATAGAAAATATTAGCCGCCGGAGGGACCAACTCTTCCAAAGTGAAATTGGTCCAAACCGCTCGATTTCGATAAATCGCCGCGATATCGCCAACCGTCGAAATTTGCAGGAAATTTTCATATAGATGGTGGGCTCTTTGGTATTTCTGAAAAAGAACTCATGATCTCGCTTCTAAGATTATTCCTGATACTTCAGAAAGCTGTATTTCAAGCAGTTCGTCTCTCGCCGTCGGAATATCCTCAAATTCTTCCTCTTCAGGTTCTTTAAGCAATTTCGAATTGATCATATTAAGTTCTAAGTCTTCAGCGCTCGTCGGCTCTTTTTCGAACTGCGAAAAGTCCCATTCTGCCTGCGCCTTTTCTTCTACGGCCTCTTGAACGTGCTAAATTTTCTTTCTTTTCGGAAAAATGAAAGATCTGTAAACTTTTCTCTGTCCATGCGACTTTCTGGGCGCATTTTTGGCTCCACGAACTGAAGGACCACCTCCGCCACGACCTCTTTTTCTGGGTGAAGGCCCTGGAGGCATATTATACCCTTAAAAGAAAAAAATTCGAAATAAACTTATTATTGTAATAAAACCCTTTACAAGTTTGAAAAAAACGACAAAAAAATTTGATTATATATAGAAGCAATTATAGTTTAAGTTTTTTTATTCATAATAATATGAAGCAAAAAAACGGTACAAATGCAATAAAAAGAAAAATTACTCAAAAACGAAATGTTTGAAAAAAACAGTCGTACGATTTAATGTTTAGTGCAATACGTGAATGCAGAGATTTCTCATACAGTAAGCCGATATTGCCCAAAATTTCGAACCTTTTTCTGCTTTCTTTTTTTTGTTGTTTTTTTTTCGATTCGAATACGGTTTTCTTAAACACACGACACTTTTTGCGTTTTCCTGTTGGTTAGAAGCTCATTTTAATTTATTCAAGGAGTTATTAACTCTATTGGCTCTTGAATATTCCCTATATTCTTCAAATTCCAAATTTGCCAAGATTTGACACTTTGTTTTGTTTTCGAGCACTTGAGCGTTCTATGTTCTGTTTTTCTGAGTCCTCGACCAACGATTTCTTGTTTTCATCCAACAAGTTTCCCTGCGAATCTTTTTTCTCGTAAACATCCCTGAAAACCTTGATAATTCCCGTTTTTCTGGCCATTTTTCAGTTCCAGTTTGTTATCGCTTTATCGATACGTTTTTATTTCATTGTGATAAGCCTTTTCTTTGTTTCTTTTTGTTTCAATGTTCTTTTTTATTGATTTTTCAATTTTTATTGAATACCGAAGCCCACAAGGTATGACCGCGAACTATACATGCCCGTAAAATGTTTAGAAGCGAATTGTAATGAAATGTAGAATAAAATATAACTGAATAGAGGGACAATATGGGGATTATTGCGGGAAGCACTGATTTTTGCGGCAAACGTGTCCTTTCGGGCATAGAAGGTTCACGCAGGGGCCGATCGCGGTCGCTGAAGTTCAAAGAAATCATTTTTTTATTGTAGAATAATTTAGGAAAATGGCTTTTTCTATAAAAAAAAAAATGCTTCGAGTTCGTGTATTATATTTTTGAAGAAGTACTAAAAACCTTTAAGTGACCACTTCGAAGCTTGAATTTTCCTATCACTTTTTGAATTTATGTATATCATTTACCAGGATCTTTCCTTTCTATTTTTCTTCTCATAATTTTTGAACTAATAAGGATTTCTCTAGTGACCACTCAAGTAGTCTAAACCCTTAAGAGACCGCTTTAAGGTTTCCAAAAATTCCTGTGAAAGTTCCATTTAAAGTCCAGGTGATCACTTAAGGGCTTCTCCGAGTGAAACCTCTTCCCAAAAAAAAACTTAAGTGATCACTAGATTTCTCCGTTTTTCGTGAGTTAGAGTCTTCTGAAGGCGTTAAAAAACCTTTAAGTGACCACTCAAGATCGTATTTCTTTGCAAAACTCGTTGGAAAGGTTCTCTAGTGATCATTTAAGTGATCCAAATCCTAAAGCGAGGAAATACCGAAGATTGATTGCATAAGTGACCACTTCGTAAGATGGGATTTTTTATAAATTTTTTTTTGGTGTTCTTCTAAAGGTGTCGAAGAAGTGATAAGAAGACTTCTAGTGGTCACTTAAGGGATTCAAAACCTTTAGGGACCACTTAACTTAGTATCTCGAGGACATGGAGCTCTCTAGTGACCTCTTGAGTGATCTAAACCCTGAAGAGACTACTAAAGTAACCAGCTCGAGGAGACTTTTCTGCCTAGTTTTCCACTCATAATTTGGAAGTTTCTATTGACCACTTAAGTAATTCCAACCCTTTAGTGACCACTCAAACTCGAGAAGATAACAAAAATAATCAAGATATACTTTTCTAGGACTTTCTCATGCTAGTTTTCTACTGATAATTGTCGAAGTGTCAAGTGACCACTTAAGTAATCCAAACCCTTAAGTGACCACTCAATTCAAAGGCCAAAAAAGATGTGAATTAAAAAGTGAATTAAGATTTCCTAGTTTCCTATCCAACGTTTTCTAAGTGTTAAGAAGCACTCAAGTGACCACTTAAGTAATCTGAACCCTTAAGAGACCACTAAACCCACCAGCTCGTGGAGATCTCGCATTGGGGACAAGACCCTGGGGAAGACACTGGTCCATGTAGCAGGCGTGGCCGGCTTGGCACCGCCCAAGGATGCAAGGTCCGACGGCGCTGCCGAAAATCGCTGAAATTACAATAATCTCAGCGTGGCTCAATGGTAGAGGCCCTGAGGGGCACTCAAAGGGTCTTCGGATCAATTCCTCACCATCTCTCTTGACTCTCGGGACAAGGTTCCTTGGGATACACTGCTCCTTGTAGCAAGCGTGGCCCGTCTGGCACTTGCCTTCGATGCAAGGCCCAACTGCTCGGGCGAAAATGTCTGGAAAGTTGGGAGCTGGAGATGTCTTACGTGTGAATGGCTCAATTCTCCTATCTATACTGCTTACTATGACTTGACGGTGAAGTGGCTAAGGATCTCATATCTCGTTGGAAAGGTCAACGCATCAAGTCCTCTTGGTGTAACTTTTTTTGCCGTTTAATTCTGAGTTTTGCCAATACTTTGAGAGGTTCAAGAAGCAAAAATGGCAAGAAATTTTGCACCAAAAGATCAAAAGATCAGGTCTCCTCAGTTAAGATTGAAAATGAGATGGAAAAGCTCATCTAAGTGGGAACTATAGGGTAAATCGATGATTGGTCTTCTATATTATATTATAAGATAATGACCCTATATTTTCATCTATACCGCCCACTATAATTTGAATGAAACCATGGTCAAGTGGCTAAGGATCACATGTTTCGTTGGAAAGGTCAATGGATCGAATCTTCTCGGTGTAACTTTTTTTTTTGCCATTTTTATAGGCTGCTGCGAATGTTTTGAGAAGCTCACAAAGGAAGGATTTAGTACTAAACGAATAAAAAAGCCAGGCTTTATCGGCCTCCAGAAAGAGACTTGACTAACATGATGGTCAAGTGGCTAAGGATCTCACGTCTCGTTGGAAAGGTCAATGGATCAACTCCTCTTGGTGTAGCTTTTTTTGTCAACATTTTGAGAGGCCCAATAAGTAAGGATCCACCACCTAATAAATCAAGATTTAAAAAACCGAAAAATTTATCGGTTTCAACCAAAAAGCCACAAAAAGACTTGAATAACATGATAGGCAAGTGGCTAAGAGTCTCATCTCTCGTTGGAAAGGTCAATGGATCAAATCTTCTCGGTGTGATTTTCTTTGCCAACACTTTGAGATACCCAATAAGTAAAGATCCACTACCTAATAAATCGAAATTTAAAAAAACAACCGAATTTTTATCGGTTTCAACCAAAAAGCCACGAAAAGACTTGATTAACATGATGGTCAAGTGGCTAAGAGCCTAATCTCTCGTTGGAAAGGTCAATGGATCGAGTCCTCTTGATGTGTTTTTTTTTTGCCAATACTTTGAGATACTTAATAAGCAAGGATCTACTACCTAATGAATCAAAATAAAAAAGCCAACCTTTCTCAGCCTCCACGGTAACAGCCAGGACCACAAGAGCGATGAGAAGAGCCAGCGACTTGGTCATTTTTCGGCTTTTCTCGGAGAATCTCTCATTGCGGTTTTTATAGTCAAGTTCTCGCGGCTGTTTATTTTCGTGTGGCTCAGTACCGGCAAGTATTTACGGACGAGCCAGGTGGGAAAAGTGAAGGCAAACAGATTCTTTCGACCCGATTTCCGGTACTTTTGTTGGCGTTTTTGCTGCCCATCAGCTGTGTTTTTCGATCAGTTCTTCGAACTTCCGGTTGCTCTTTTCTATTTTTCCAGGAAATATCGAAATCCTATTATTTCATAAATGATGTTAGGTGGTAAAATCGTGATAAGTATTTTTTTTTGTCCGAAGAAGGACCCTACTTATCACCATCATCTTTGCTCACCGGCTCAGACACTTCCGCGTAATTTTTTTGCGCGTCGATTCTTGTGTCTTGTACGAGGTGTCGCGGATGATCTTTGTACCGTAGTCGGATTATTGGTTTTTGGGCATTCTTCTAGTGAATAAAAGAAGGGTTCAAAGTTTTAAAGATCAAATCGTGGAAATATTTTTCTAAGGGACTCACTATAGGGATCACAGAACAATCAGAGGTCAAAAATAAGCCAAAAATTTCTGTTCCATCACAATTCTCTAGAGTTGCAGCTTCTACAGAATCAAGAAGCCCAAATTATTCAAAAAAAATTCCGTCAAAAGGACTTTTTAAAGGCTTCATCTTGACCCTAAAGCTTCTCTACCACATTTTTCAAAAATTGAAAGTTCATTCAGCCGGTTTTTATAGCTAGGAATAGATCCAAGGACTGGGAAGAGGCCACTTTAGGGTTTTGACTGTTTTAGTGGCCACTCAAGGGACTGAAATGGCCACTTTAGAATTTCGAATGTTCAAGTGGCCACTCAAGTGACTGAAATGACCGCTTTAGGGTTTTGACTGTTTTAGTGGTCCCTATAGTAGTCGAATTAGTGACCTCTTTAGAATTCTAAGTATGCTATCATTAGACTCCTTAAAACTACTATAGTGACCACTAAGACGCAAACCATTGGCTTCTATAGAGGTTATTTTAGTGGCCACTTTAGTGTCCTCCCCTTGAGGAACCTCTTAAGTGGCCACTAGAGTTTTTTCCAGTCCTACTTTTTCAAATTTTCATTTCTCAATGTTCATATTAAACGCTCTCCACGTTTCGTCGATTTTCTTATTTTAATTTTCAAACTTTCAGAGTTCATTTCCAAAAATGGGCCGGTTTCGGCTGGAAGACTCGGGTCTGCAAATCGTCGGCGGCTTTCTCGGCCTCGTCTTCGTCCTCTACTTGATCTACCCGCCAGCTCTTCTACTGATTCCAACGTCAATCGCTGCTGCGGCTTTCTTGACCAAAAATCGGAAATGTGATCCGAAAGATGTGGGTTTTTCCAGATGAAAGGTGTTCTTTTACAGAAAATTCTTACTCCGAAATTTTTTCAATAGTCGTATCTCACCCTGATTCCGGATCTGGGCCTGAAAATCGCCCTCAAGGCTTACGAAAAAGGATAAAGTTGAAAAATAACTCTTGTTACAAAGGCCAATAGAAAGGGACTACATAATCACGAAAATCAATTTTTTGGAAATTTAAAAATTTGTGATCCGAGACTTTCAAAGCTTGATCTAGCAATTTAGAACCTATGTATTTTAATGAGCTTTTGATGCAATTTTCGAGCCCAGAAAACTGTAACTAATGGACCTAGTTCCGTTGAGAACTTCTGACTTAAATTGAAAAAAAAAATGATTTATGATTTCTCAATCCTAGCGTGTGAGATCCCCTGCCCTTTTCCCCTTTTCTCCCAGCTTTTCCTACATATTCAAACTTTCCAAACCATTTTATCTTAACCCCCCTGAGAGACTCGCTAGCTTTTTTTTCTCTCCATCAGCTTCTTCTACAATTTTGAGCTCTCATCACTTTTTATGGGCATAAGTTCGGACTCTGAAAACTGTAGCTAATGGTCTTCATTCCCCTGTGAACTCTAAAATCACACTAAAGAACGTTTGAATTATTCAATAAGCCCGAAAAATTTGCTACCCTTCTTTTCCTTTAGAGGTAATTTTTGAGCCCAGGAAAAGTCTGAGTTTCAAAGTTTTTTCCTTGTCTTCCCAGTCACTGAAACCATGTTGAGGCCTTCTGGACACGATGTCAAGTTGTATATTTTCAACCAGACGGTGCTTCCATCATTTTGAATAGTTACCGTAACGTCTTGAAGTGTGACGTTAAACCAGGTGCATACGGGTGTCATTGAAAAACCCTAGAGGTATTTTTTTTTTTTGTAAGAATAGGTGGCTTATAATCTGTTCAGTGGGATTTCCTAGACTTAGAACGCATAAATTTGCAGAGTAAAAGGAAACTAAGTTCTCCTCAGGACGTAGAAGTTCAAGATCCTTGCAAGGAGCGCCATTTTTCAAACTGAAATGGGCCAGGATGCTTCTTACATGTTAAAGTGCGAAATGAATCACCCTGACAAGGAGAGTGTTTCGATATGATGTGCAGAATTGGCTATAAATATTTTTGAAGCATTCTCGGAACCTCTATACATACCTAGGATCAATTTGCATTCAGAACACCTTATTTGAACTTGAAATTCCGAGTTCATACCAACCTGACCTTCAGGTGGAACGCTTCTTCGCCGGCTTCAAGGTCGGCGGCCACCGTGGCGCCCCGCACAGTTTCCCAGAGAACAGCATGCGCGGCTTCATCCAGGCAAAGCAGGACGGCGCCGACCTCATCGAGTTCGACGTGGCGTTGACCAAAGACGGCAAGGCGGTTCTGATGCACGACGACGACTTGGATCGGACGACTGATTTGAGGGGTCCCATTCGCGCCCAAACACGTCTGCAACTCGACTCGGCCAACATCTGTGCCAATTTTCAGAGGAGTGTCTCGTGAGCTTTCCTTATCGCTTTTTTTTTCTGAGTCCTCTCTGGATCTAGACTTTCAGAAGCTTCTAAAAAATGCCTTTAAGAAAAATAGGTCTGAAAAAAATACGCTTAAAAGCGAGAGATCGCAGAGATGCAGATCACTTTTTTTCTGGCCTCTCTGCTTTTCTCATGATCTCTAACTCCTCAAAAATAGATCATTAATCTTACCCTGTATACACTGTTAGTACATACTACAAATGATTGCTCAGCGAGAGAGTAAGGAGCCCTTAGAGACGCAGATCATTTTGATCTCTGGTCTCTCTGCGGTTCTCGTGATCATTCGCTTTCAAGGTTGATCCTGGTCCTTTCTAAGCTTGCTTCTGTCAACAAAGTCTCAGAAGGAAAAAAAGGATTCTGTTCAAGCGAGAGAGCATGAAGGCCTTGGAGACGCAGATATATTTTTCTCTAACCTCTCGACTTTTCACACGATCTCTCGCTTTTGATATGGGACCTGATCCTTTCTGAGCTTTCCGACGTCAAAAGAGTCTCAGAAGGAAAAAAAAAGCATTTTGTTTAAGCGATAGATCATGGGAGCCTCAGAGACGCAGATCTCTTTTTCTCTGGCCTCTCTGCTTTTCTCATGATCTCTAACTCATCAAAAATGGATCATTAATCTTACCGTTTTCATCACTGTTAGGAAAAGTACTATAAATAATTGCTCAGCGAGAGAGTATAGGAACCTTAGAGACGCATAGATTTTGATCTCTGGTCTCTCTGCGGATGTCATGATCTCTCGCTTTTTAGGTTTATCCTGGTTCTTTTTAAGCTTACATTAGTCAAAAGATGAAGTCTCAAACGGAGAAGAAAGATTTTAAAGTGAGAGAATATGGAAGCCGCAGAGATGCAGAACTCCTGTTCTCTAATCTCTCTACTTTTACACGATCTCTCGCTTTTGGAGTCGATCCTGATCCTTTCTGAGATTTTCGACGTCAAAACAGTTTCAGAAGAAAAAAAAAACCATGTCGGTAAAGCGAGAGAGTAAGGAGCCCTTAGAGACGTCTCTCTACAGTTCTCATGATCTCTCGCTTTCAAGGTTGATCCTGGTCCTTTCGAACATCAAAAGTCAAAGAGACAAAAAAAACGAGTCTTAAACAAAAAGGGAAATTTTTAAGCGAGAGTGCATGGAGGCCTCAGAGACGCAGATCTCTTTTTCTCTGGCCTCTCTGAGGTTCTCATGATCTCTCGCTTCCCAGAATCAATCAAAACCCCGTCATTTTTCAGAAGAATCGAGCTTGAAGAAGTCAAAAAAGAGCGGGTACCAGATATGGAAGATGTCATCAAATGGTCCGTTGAGAACAACATGAGGATGCTCTTCGACGTCAAGGATTCTGATACCGAGGTGGAAATTCTCAACTTGATCAACTCCAACCTCAACTCCAGCTCGTCGACCAAATCGGGACCCTCTTCGAGAAGTACAACCTCTACGACAAAGCCATCGTGTGCAGTTTCCTACCCTGGGTCGTTTATCGGATCAAGCGCGGAAATCAGAAGATTCTGACAGGTCTTCTGACATTTTCAAAAATCATAGCGTAGTAAATCTTGGAAGGGGATCAAAAAAAGAGCTGGAGAGAAGGAGAGAGAGTGCTGTGGATTGTAGAGACGTCAGACGAGTAGAGCATTTTTCTCTCTCTGGCTTCTCTTCAATCCGCCACTATCTCTACTAAAGGATGACTAGTACATAAGATGAGAGCTGAAGCGAGGGAACAGTTTGGACGAAGAGACGTCAGACATGTAAAGTATCTATCTTTCTCTGGCCTCTCTTCATTCCAACGTTATCTCACGCATTTTTTCTGGTCATCGCTGTACCGATATTGTAGTAGGAAGAAACTTTCGGTAAAAGCTAGAGCGAGAGAACAGTTTGGACGAAGAGACGCCAGACAAGCAGAGAATCTTTCTTTCTCTGACGTCTCTTCATTCCAGCACTGTCTCTACCAAAAGAGAAAAGAAAAACAAAGCGAGAGAATGGTGTAGACTGAAGACACGCCAGACAAAGGAAGGATCTCTTTTACTCTGGCCTCTCCACAAACCCTATTATCTCTGGCATTTTTTCTGGTCTTCACTGTACCAATAGAAGTAAAAAGCAATTTTCAAAGAGAGCTATAACAAGGGAACACTTTAAACGAAGAGACGTCAGACAAGCAGATAATCTTTCTTTCTGTGGCCTCTCGTTGATCCGCCACTATCTCTTGCGATTTCTATGGGCTTTTTATAGATTAAGATCTCCCAGAAAATCAGGAAGGAAAGAAGGTTCAATAAAAGCTAGAGCGAGAAAACAGTTCGGACGAAGAGACGCCAGACAAGCAGGGTATCTCTCTTTCTCTGGCCTCTCTTCATTCCAACGTTACCTCTCGCATATCGCTGTACCGATATTGTAGTGGGAAGAAACTTTCAGTAAAAGCTAGAACGAGGGAACAGTTTGGGCGAAGAGACGCCAGACAAGCAGAGTATCTCTCTTTCTCTGACGTCTCTTCATTCCAGCACTGTCTCTCGCTTTTTTTTTTCTGTGCTCTACGTGTCAAAACGTTCTTTCACATACAGGATAACGATGCTAACTTCAAAATTTCCCCAAATAAAATATATTTTTAATTCCAGGCCTTACTTGGAGGTTGAAGTTCTGGTCATACTGCGATATCGAAAACTCCAAGCCACGGTACACGGGAATCAAACAGATGGTTTTCGAATGGATCGACGTTTTGCACGTCTTTCTGACCCAAACGACAACTCCGTGGTACCTTGGCGCCGATTTGCTTCTCACTAATAATTTGGACATTTCACAGTGAGTTTAAAAAAAAATTATTTGTAAAGAAATAACAGTTGAAACTTTTTTTGATAAGCTTAAGCTTGAAATTTTTGCTTGAACATCAAAAAATTGGAAAATGCCCCAAAACGGCCACAAGCTCTCAAGATTATGAAAAAGGCGGCTGTTAATGTGTAGTTTTTGCGCTCTACGGACAATTTTTCGCATTTCAAAGCCTCTAGAGAAGTCGTATAGCGCTATGATACTGGAGAAAACGAAAAAAAAAAGAAATGTGAAAATGGCTTAAAATTAACCACTTTTCGCGCACTGCGGACAATTTATCGAATTTCAAAGCCTTTAAAAAAGTCGTACAGCGCTCTGGAAAAATAATTGCGAAAATGGCTTAAAATTAGCTGTTTTTGCGCTCTATGGACAATTTTTCACATTTCAAAGCCTCTAAAAAATCGTATAGAGCTCTGATGCTGGGGGAAAACAGAAGGAAAGGATGTGAAAATGGCTTAAAATTAAGCACTTTTTGCGCTCTACGGATAACTTTTCGCGGCTTAACTTTTTCAATATTTTCAAAGTCATTAGGAACTTCTTTAACGTCCTTAATGGGAAATTTGTCAGAAAAGTAATTTTTCAGAGCGTTAATGTCGCGGAAAAATCAATGAATGATGTTATACGGCTCGAAATTAGGCATTTTTGCGCTCTACGGACAAATTTTCGTATTTTGAAGTCTCCTATAAAGTTCTATTGTGTTTTATTGAAAATCGTCAAAAATATAATTTCGAAGTAACTGAGAAAAAAAAGGCGAAAATGGCTTAAAATTAGCCGTTTTTGCGCTCTACGGACAATTTTTCGCGACTCAACTTATTTTAAGTTGTTTCTGAAGTCATTGAGAGCTGCCTTCTAGAAATTTAGAGAAAAAAGGAATTTTCCAGAGCCCTAGTACTTGATCAACGCCGGCGCGGAATGCACGTGGCGGTCTGGACGGTGAACGACATGGCCGAAATGCATTGGATGCTGGAAACTTTGAAAATCCCTGTCCTGACCGACTACCCCGAGTTTACCAAGAAGGTAGGACTCCTCAATTTTCCCAAAAAAAAAAAATGAACTTTCCAGGTCAAACACTTGGAAACGATCAAAAAGCACGACTACCTCCCAATGTGACGCTGAATTTTCTTGCCAAAATCGTAGATATACGTGTCCTTTTACTATTTATTTGGTTAGCATCGATTAGAATAAACTATTACAATTTCGAAACGTGTTGAAAGGCTCATTTCAAAACCTCGGTTATTGTTTGAAAGGTTGTCTCATTTCCATGGAAGCCAAAAAGAGAACGAGCCGCGAGGGATGCAGCAGGTATACTGTAGCGTACAGTAACCCTGGGATACGGTATTTTTCAGCAAAGCGAAGAAAAGCGACAGCGAAACTTCAAATAGAGAGGTATTTCTATCAGGAAGGAAAAACACTAAAGTGACCACTTAAGGGGCTGAGTTCGTTCAACAGCGACAGCTCAATCTTCAGTGAAAATCCGTGAGTTTGGAAAAAAAAAAAGAAGAAAGAAAGCCGACTTGCGTTTTCTCGGCGCGATATCGCGTTTTTTTCTTGACGCGATATCGCGATGACCCTGGCACTCGAATTTTTCTTGGCGCATTCCCGATTTTTCGCACGAATAACTTCCTACCAGTTAGCGATGTCGCTGGCGGTACATTTGCGATATCACAAAAGTGCTGCGTTGTAGCCGCGTCGGTTTTGCGTTTTCGATGGAGCGAACGCGCATTTTCCTTGACGCAATCTCGCATTTTTCTCGCACTAAGAATAACTGCCGAGAAGTTGGCGATTTCGCTGGCGGGACAATAACGATGTCGCAAAAGTGCTGTTTTCTAGCCGCGCAGAACTCGCATTTTATTTTTTCGGCGCGATATCGCGATGTCCATGGCGCTCGCATTTTTCTCGCACTTAGAATAACTACTTAAATGAAAGCGAAGTCGCTTGCGGTACATTTACGATATCACAAAAATTCTGCTTTGTAGCCGCGCCAATCTTGCCTTTTCCTTGACGCGATATCGCGTTTTCCCTCACGCGTTCCCGCAATTCACTTGGCGCTACCTCGTGATTTTCTTCACGCGTTATCCCATTTTCTTTGACGCGATCTCGCAATTTTCTTAACGCGATCTTGCATTTTCCTTGGCGCGATATCGCATTTTCCTTACAGCGATACCGCATTAACCTTCGCGCGATATCGCATTTTTTTACACGATATCGCACTTTCCTTAAAACGACATTGCATTTATCTTTGCGCAATATCGCATATACCTTAGCGCGTTATCGCGTTTATCTTGGAGCGATATCGCAATTCCATTGCGCGATCTCGCAAATGGCAAGAAAAATACGAGTCCGACGCGGCGAAAGTTCGCGAGGTTATCACTGTATCGCCAGCGACATCGCTTTTCTCTCGCACTAGGCAGGGTACCAAGATATGTTGAAAGCCTAAAACAACCTGAAACTCGGCTTGAAGATGCCACGCCTTCGCCCCGTCTTTCGTCCTGAACGACGGTGACGAGAAGCACGCCTACCGCCTTCAGGACGGCGGCAAACTCATCAAAGTCTACCGAGCCGTCAGTTCAGTTTCGTGATTTTTGAATAACTCGAAGAGTTCAGAACGGCGAGGTGGCCTACGCGCTGATCTGCACGGACGGCCGTCGGGTCTACATCGAACGGAAGGTCGACTCGGCTTGCCTCGTTCTGAGTGACCCCAAGGGCAACGTCGTCAAAACCCTCGCCGCACAGTATTGAACTGCTGATAACTCTCAAGTTTCCCCTGGAGAATAAAACGTATTGATGGTTATATCGACTAGAAAACTGTGAAAGCTAAAAAAAAATGTGACCAAAAACAGCGAAACGCGAGCTCCTTAAGAATTTTAAAGCGGTCCTTATAGGGGTTAGGAGCCCCTGTAGTGGCCGAAAAAGTGGCCCCTATAGGGATTTAAGGTCTTACCCCTCACCCCCTAAAGCTTAAATGGTCCCTATAGGGTTCTTTCAATTTTATTCAAAAAAAGGTTGATTGTTCAATTTTTCGCATAGAGTTCATCGGCTAGCATGTCCCCTATAGGAGCCACTAGCTAAAACCTCTACAAGGACCACTTTTGCAAGCTTGAGTGGTCCCTATAGGGGCTAGTAAAGTGGCTCATTAAAGGACCAAAAATGAGTTATAAGACGGCGTCAAAAATCAAGTTCAACTCAAAAATTAACAAAAAAATGTAGATTCTCCAATTTTAAGTATGGAGACTGGTCACACTCACGACGAATAAAAATACTTTTAAATTATTAAAAAAGCTTTATTGAATTATTTATACATAAATATGATTTTCGGCAAGAATCGTTGTTCGGCAATCAGCTCACTAGGCACCAGGGGGAAATGATATCGAAGCTCAATAATCCGGGTCCTTCTCCAGAAGCCTGAAAAATCCAATTTTAAAATCTCCAATGGCTTTCAGACAATGGTAACACTTTCCGGAAGCCTTTCCAATTTCCAGGGATCACTCAAGAGGCGCAAAATCTACTTGAGTGACCACTAAATGACTCAAGAAGCCCCTTTTATCTGATAGACGCTTCCAGAAAACGGTACCAATGATTGCGCTAAAACGCCGCCAGGTATGGCTCAAAGCGTCGCGGTCGCGTTGCGGTTTAACAGAGGACTATTTGCGCTCGATGGCATCCCTCAACATTAGGACCAGTTCAGTCGCTACAAGTCGGGCGCAGTTACTTCTAACGAACAGGAGACTACATTTTCAAGGTCACAGCAGTTTCTCCAAGGCGTCCGACTACAAACAACTTGCGCTTGATGGCATTTTGACAGCATCGAAGAACGGAAAGTCGCTAAAGGTCGGGCGCACTCACTAATAACCATCAAAGAGTTGTGGTTTTCAAAAGAAAACGATCAATTGAAGGCGTCCGACCAAAAACTACTTGCGCGCGGCGACATAATTAAGCTTTAGAGACGGTAAGAGCCTTTAGCGTCAGGTGCAGCGAGCTTGAGCCGCTAAAAATTGCTTTCATGAGCCCAGCAGTTTCTCAAAGGTGTCCGACAGGAAGCTACTTTCTCTCGGTGACATCATTTAGCATTAGAGACATGAAAGTCACTAGAAGTCGGGCGCAGAATCTCTAACGAACAACTGGCTGTGTTTTCAAGGTCGCAGCGGTATCTTATGGGCGTCCGACAAGAAACTACTTGCGGTCGGTCGCATTTTATAGCATATGAAGCAGTGAAGTCGCTACAAGTCGGGCGCAGCTAATTCAAGGCTCCAAACTGCTTTCATTTTTCCAGCGGTTTCTCAAAGGCGCCCGACCAAAAACTACTTGCGCAAGATGGCATCTTAGCCTCTATGATTCGGGGGCAGCTTTGAGCCAAACCAACTTGGTCATAAGTCGAGTATTGGAATAGATCCTCAGAAGGAACTCAGCATCACAATTCGGATCATAAGTACTGGGAACGGTGACGTAGTCGCCGGGCGGTACTCGGAATCGAGCGGTTACCTGAAAATCTCATTTTACCTGAGTTTTACCTGAAGCTGAATCTACCTGTCGGACGTTGATAAAGGCCCCGGAGCGGCAGACCGGCGTGGTTTGGACGAAAAACCGAGGATGCATGGTGTATTTCACGCCGTCGCACTATGGAAAATTGAATAAGAGATGGTTGGTAAAGTGGTTAAGGCTTCAGATTGTTGAGAAAAAAGTCATGGGATCAAATCCACTCACTTTCTAGGCAAAAAAAAGTTCAGTAAAACGGAGAAAAATAGAATTTTTTACATAATCTTCAAAGGGTATTCCAAAAGCATGACGTCACTCAATTAAATATGACGCTATAATTTTTTTTTTTCAAAAACTCTCCGAAAATTCGTCTTAATGACGTCATCAAGAAACACGTCAGAAAATAAATGTATAGGCTATTGTAAACTCTCTTCTTTTCGCTCACTATTTCCTTGATCGTCCTTGTAATTTTGATTAGGAACTCCAAAGTGCTCCCTAGAGGGCTAAAATTCAAGTGGTCCCTATAGGGCTTTAGGATATGATTCTCAAGAATTTAGAGCTCAAGAAGTCCCTCACAACGCTAAAATTTAAGTGGTCCCTTCAGAGATTAGGGTCTGACCCCTTGAGTGGTCCCTAAGTGGTTTTAAATTTTTCATTCTGATTTTAAAGTTGAAAAGACGTATGCACGCTCCCTAGAGTGGCCACTTTTGCAAGCTTAAGTGCCCCCTAGAGGGGAGGTAAGGTGGAGAGTAGCCTTCAAGGGCCCCTAAGGGGACCACTCTGGCGTTCCTAAGTGAGCCTGAATCATCTAAAGCTAGAGAGCGTTCAAAAATGAGAGCGTCTTTTTTTCTCTGAACGCTCTCTTGTTTACCAGTGCTCTCTGACTTTAGAAGAATCGCGATTTTCAGATTCAAGTTGGGTAGAATTTAAATTTCGCGCCAAGGGAAAAATTCAAAAAAATTACCGCATAAACAGCGAATCCAATGGGAAGACTGTCCTTGCCCAGCGATTTCAGTTCCCTTCTGTACTTTTGCATGACCGCCACGATTACCGTACACTTTCCGTCTTTTTCGAGGCTCGTGTCGGGAACCGTAAAGTACGTGGCGTACTGTGGATTGTTGTAGAAGGAATCTTTAACGTAATAATTCGAAAGGTACATGACAACATGAAAATGGGCAATGCATCATAATTTACAGCCTAAGTTCGATTTCAACAAGAAAAAAGGTTAAGAAATCTTGAAAACTTCTCAAATTTACTATTTTTCACCTCAAAAGAAAGGTCAGTTCACTTTTCGGTTTGGATTTTCCTTAAATTCAGCCAGAATGCTACTGGATGTACCAGGCAATGATTCTGAAAGGTTCAACCTTCAAATCTTCCCAGTTTTTGAAAAAGGACGTCTCCAAAAAGACCCTGAAAATCCATTAAAACGGGCTATTTTCGGGCTTTAAGCCCTTTTTTCTCGAAAACTAGGAAGTTTACCAGGTTGAGACTTTCAGAAAATCTTTCTTTTACATTGAAAAGTGTTAGGGGTGAATTTCAGGACATTCTTAACCTCAAAGTAGAAAGAGCTATCTTGTAAGATTTTCTTAAGAATTCATGAAAATCAGTCAAAACTGACGAGGATTATTGGTGCAACCGCCCGCAGTTCCCTTGGCCGTGCTCCATTCCCCGTCGGTGCTCGTTTCCTTCCAAACGTAGGTTTGGGAAGCTTTCACGTCGACCTGAAATCGACATGTTTTTAGTGAGAACAACATTCTACTCTAATCATCTTCAGACTGTTCAAGACTGGTTTGTGTTTCCGGCTCGACTGGGCCGGCCCGGCTTTGAGCCTCATTTTTGTGAAGAAGCTGGCGCGGGCCAGACTTCGAAGGAAGTTTTCGAACCCCATCAAAATACTTTTCATCCCTACTCCAAATCATACATCGGATAAGCATGCCTGGCGAGAGCCAAGTTTTCTACGGTCTTTGCCCCCTTTCTCGAAGGAAGTTTTCGAATCCCATCAAAAATTTTTTTGCCAAGTCCCCTTTTCAGGTCCCACCTAATGTGCTCAAAATTTGGTCCCATTCATAGTTTTTTTAATAAATTAAAATGGGGATGTTAACGAGAATTTTATCTTAGAAAAGTCTTTGAAGAAAAACTTGCGCTCGGCCTTTTTTGGATTGAGGCCTCGCTAAGGCCCAAGCCGTGTCGGGCTTAGAAAACTGCTGGAAGCAGATGGACAAAAATTGCACAGAGTAACGCGCAAGACGTGAAATAAATTTAATATATTCAGCCTCAAACAGGAATCATATTAAAGGAGCATGGAGAGGTACCAAAAAGAAATTTCATCACGAAAGTTGCCTACTTTTGCGAACCTATAGCTCAAGCCTACATAAAAAAATGATTTTAAAAAAACCGATATCAGGCTTTTTTTGGATTTAAATGGTGATTAGTTGAATACAAAAACATTTTCAAAACTCCCTAATCTTTTTTTAAAAAGAGCGGGAAAAACATCAAAGTTATTTTTGCGTTCAGAACAATTTTTCAACTTAAAAATATCAATTTTCTGGATTTTTCGAGTCTTTCCCCCCAGCTTTTCAAGCTCTAGGTAACCAAAACTGATCTAATAATGTCCTTAAAACTTTTTCCAACTTTTGAATGAGTCCCGTCCCTACTCCCCAAAAACTATTTTAAAACACTTCTGAAGAGCAAATTAAATTCTTAAAAGAAACCCCAGTCATCTCGGCGATTTCGTCCATCACGGCAGCCGACAGGTTGCAGACCTCCATCTGAGTGAAATTCCTGTAGAAGTCGTCGAACGTCATCCTGAACCTCAGTATTGCTCATGATAGCTGATAATGGCTCACCAGAACTCTCCATCCTGTGCAAATTCGATTCCCAAATCTTCCTTCGTCTGTTCATCAATCGTCCGCCATTCAGAACTTCCATCGCTCCAGGCTCCTCTCCATTCCTAATAAGGGTAAAAAAATAAAAAGAAGGTTTTATAGGTACTTCAGAATATTTATGACGTGGTTTACTGGTTTAATACCCTTTCAAATCCCGAAAAACGGGCTATAATGCCCCATCGCCGTGGGAGCTCTCGAGTGTCTGCGTCTCTCTGCCCCCTCACCGGCGAGGTCAGAAAAACGCGAAAAGCGCATGTCAACTTGAGAGAGTTGCCGAGAGACGAGAAGGGCACAGAGAAGCCCTTTAAAGTCCCGAAAAACGGGCTATACTCTCCCATCTCTGACCAGGTGTCTAAAGGGGTGTACTAGTGTTTTTGAGGCTCTTTGATTCCCCGTTTCGCTAAAACGGGCAAAAAACGGGTCCAATAAGGTTCAATACGGGCACACCCGCTTAGAGCCCGCGTCAGCAGTTTGACCTTCTGAAAGTCGGCGAGAGTCAAGGAGGGCGTAGAGAAGCCCGTTAAAGTCCCGAAAAACAGGCTAGACTCTCTCGTGCTTGTAAGGTGTCTCAACGGGTGTACCCGTATTAAGCCCGTGTTTTTAGACTGGTTGAGTCTCAGTTTCACAAAAAAAAAACGGGTGCAAGAAGCGACTGGTGTCCCTGCTCCGTTTATTTTGAAAATATGAGACCCAACTGAGTTTATTACGGGCACACCCGCTAAGAGCCCATGTCAGCAGTTTGACCTCCTGAAAGTCGGCGAGAGACGAGGAGGGCACAGAGAAGCCCGTTCAAGTCCCGAAAAACGGGCTATACTCTCTCATATATCTGACCAGGTGTCTCAACGGGTGTGCCCGTTTTGAGCCCGTGTTTTGAGGACATTCGTGTCTGAATCCTCTCAGAACAACGGGTGCAAGAAGCTTTGATAAAAAACGGGTTTAATTCGGGCACACCCGCTAAGAGCCCGCTTCAGCAGTTTGACTTCCTCAGCATGAAGGAATTTTGTAGAAGCCAAAATTTTCAGTCATTTTTCGAGTTTTTCAACTCAAAAAAAGGTACAGAATATTCACCCTACTGTTGCCCCAAGGGTTCCTAAGCCGGAGCAATGGAACCTGTTTTCCCTTCAAGTTCTTGACGGTGTGCAGCGAGGTCAGACTGTAGGCATGGCCGCAGATCAATCCATTCGACAGTTGGAGCTCCTTGATGTTCGCGTCAGCCTGAAAATTTTCATATATCGAAATTTGATACGAATCTGACCATATTGAACAAAGTTATAACCATAAAACTTTATAAAAAGGTCCTTGGTTCGGATCCTGTCAAGAGCGGAATAGTTTTTGCCATTTTTCCAAGTTTTACTCCGCCTCGAAAACACTTTTTCCTACTAGAATCACACCGAATTAACAATGAAAAAGATAAAAATTAACAAAAAATGTCTTTTTAGAAGTTATGGAGACCAAAATGAGTTCATTTTGAGGATCTAGAGGTCATAGGGTCGGGTCCTGTCCAGAACGAATCAGCTTTTGCCCTTTTTCTCCAAACTTTCTGATCCTCTTTTTCTTCAAAAATTACACTAAACGGACGATACAAAACATGAAAATTAAAAAGCAAAATTTTTAAGGATTTGGAGGTCAAAATAAAGGTAAATTGAGCATCTAGAGGTCATAGGTTCGAATCCTGTTCAGAGCGAAAGCATTTTTGCCATTTTTTCCGAAGTTTCTGAGCCTCAGAATTCATTTCTCTCATTAAATTACGCCAAAAGAACAATGAAAAAGATAAAAATGCCCGAAAATATAGCTTTTAGAAATTCTGAAGATCAAAATAATGTATTTTGAGGGTCATGGGTTATAGGTTCGGATCCTGTCCAGAGCGGAAAATTTTTTGCCATTTTTCTCTCAACTTTCTGAGCTTCTTTCCCGGTAAAATTTCACTACAATACATAACAATTCACAAAAAACAGAATTTTTTGAAGCTTAGGAGATCAAAATAAAGGTACTCTGAGCATCTAGAGGTCATTGGTTCAAATCCTGTCCGGAGCGGAAAGATTTTTGCCATTTTTCTCTGTAGTTTCCGAGCCCCCAAAACCCTTTTTCTCACTAAAATCACATTGAAAAGATACTGAAAAATGAGTGAAAATCGCAAACACTCCATGATTAGAGGATGTAAAGGTCCCAGGTTCGGATCCTGTCCAGAGCGGACAATTTTTTGCCATTTTTTTCCAAACTTTCTGAGTCTCAGAAAACCACCGTTCTCACCAAAATTAATCTAAAAAAACCCAGAGTTTACGAAAAAGATGGTAAAAAGGGTCACAGGTTCGGATTCTGTCCAGAGCGGAAAGATTTTTGCCATTTTTCTTTGAGCTTTCTGAATCTCAAAAGTTCCTTTTATCATTAAATTTCCTCTAAAAAACACAAAAAGCTCCTCACGTCAATACTACAGGCGAAGAGAGATCCCATCTGCATTCCTCGGACCATTTGAGACAGAACCGTCGTTTTGGCGACCTTCCTGAGGTCGAAAAACTCGGTAAGACCTCCGGTAAAGTCTTCCAAAGCTTCCGCGGTTGTACCGCCTTCCAGGTTCTCATAGCACCCGTACATTCTGAGATTTTCACATTTTTCAAGGATTCTTTGGTTTTTTTTTTTACTTGGCGTAGGCTTTCTCGAGGAGGGCACTCCAGAATTCGTTATTTTCCTGGGACTTCATGTAGCAGAGTTTTCCGTCGATGGTTGGCAACCGGTCGTCGACCACGACTTCCACCCATTTCCCGTAGCGCCAGAAGTAGAAATGAAAGATTCCTAGAAGAATTTTGAATGGATCTGTTGAAAAAACCTCTCAAACAAGTGTAAAAATTCGAAGCAGAAGGCCTGGGAAATTTTTTAGAGACCACTATAGGGTTTTGAGGTTTTAGTGGCCACTATAGTAGTCAAATCAGTGGCCACTTAAGGGGTTAAATATTAGTTGCAAATATAAAGATCCGAGTGCTACAACTAGACCACAAAAAGTGTTAGTGGCCACTTTAGGGGTCAATGGATTATCAAAACTGATCCAATCTGCTTGTTTTAAAATTATCAGAGTTACTGGAGGAAATATTGGATGAAAAACTACTAAAGTGGCCGCTAAAACGGAAAATAGCGGCCACTTTAGTGTCCCCTCCAAGTAGTTCTTGGCGAGCCTCTATAGTGGCTACTAAAAAAAATTTTCCCAGACTTACAAAGTTAATTTTTAATATACGGTTCACAATTTTCTGGAATTTGACTAAATTACTTTTTGATGAACTGGAGAAGATCCAGGAAGACCCACACAACTATTCAACTTCTGAGGAAAACCCGAAATTTTCTAGTTATCGCACAGGACTCATGAGAAGACGATTTTAGTTCAGAATTCCAGAAAATTGTTCAAATTCCTTTTCGGTGTACCTTGCTAGGTTCTTAAACTTCTCAATCTCCAATTCTCCCACCTTAAGAAAAAGACCTCAAGGTCAAAGAAAACCATAAAAAACTGTAAAAATACAGTACCGCTCAAAAGTCTATTAACTTTTGGTTTTTTGAGGATATCTCAGCGAGTACTTATCCGATTAATATATAACTTTCAGGGATAATGTAAAAATATACTTTGAAACATATACGGTATACAAAGACATGTCCGCAATGACTGTGACGCGTTTTAGGCATTTTTTTATTGAATTCCATTTTTTTGTTTTTTTATGCTTTTATTTTTTTATTTATTTTTTTATTAAATTTTTTTAAAAATTAATAATGTTGCCATATGATTTTTTTCATGTTTTTCAGACATGGGAAGAGCCTTTGGAAAATAAGAATTTGACTGATAACGACAAAAGAGCCATCGTTGTGGTCGTCAAAATGGACTGACCATGATGACGTTGGCAGGAATGTTCGGCGTGACAAAGGCGGGCATTTCTCAGTTCCTAAAGCGTCAGAAAGCTCAAGATGGCTCTACTAACAGCCAACGCACTGGAAGACCACGTGTCACTGATCGTAATGACGATAGGAACATTTTGAAGACGTCTAGAACCAATCCAAGACTCACCGCCCCTGCGATCAGACGGGAAGTTTTCTTGAATTCGCCAGCTCCGCCATCCGTCTCGACCGTGAAACGACGTCTGAATGCTGCTGGAATCATGGGAAGACGTCCAGTGAAGAAACCGCTGATTTCTGAAAAGAATCGAGTCGCCAGGGTGAAGTGGGCGAAGGAGCATCTCAACTGGACCCGTCAAGACTGGAACAAGATTCTGTGATTCGACGAAACGGTCCTCCACCATGTTTCACAAAGGGTAATTGGTATTTCGGATGATATCTGGACCCAATTGGTCTACGAACTCATTGAATTCCGTCACTTCCGAAGAGGAGGAACTTGATTTCGTCGGACGACAGAATCTTGTTCCAGTCTTGACGGGTCCAGTTGAGATGCTCCTTCGCCCACTTCACCCTGGCGACTCGATTCTTTTCAGAAATCAGCGGTTTCTTCACTGGACGTCTTCCCATGATTCCAGCAGCATTCAGACGTCGTTTCACGGTCGAGACGGATGGCGGAGCTGGCGAATTCAAGAAAACTTCCCGTCTGATCGCAGGGGCGGTGAGTCTTGGATTGGTTCTAGACGTCTTCAAAATGTTCCTATCGTCATTACGATCAGTGACACGTGGTCTTCCAGTGCGTTGGCTGTTAGTAGAGCCATCTTGAGCTTTCTGACGCTTTAGGAACTGAGAAATGACCGCCTCTGTCACGCCGAACATTCCTGCCAACGTCATCATGGTCAGTCCATTTTTGACGACCACAACGATGGCTCTTTTGTCGTTATCAGTCAAATCCTTTTTCCAGAGATTCTTCCCATGTCTGAAAAACATGAAAAAAATCATATGGCAACATTATTAATTTTAAAAAAATTTAATAAAAAAATAAATAAAAAAATAAAAGCATAAAAAAACAAAAATGGAATTCAATAAAAAAATGCCTAAAAACGCGTCACAGTCATTGCGGACATGTCTTTGTATACCGTATATGTTTCAAAGTATATTTTACATTATCCCTGAAAGTTATATATAAATCGGATAAGTACTCGCTGAGATATCCCCAAAAAACCAAAAGTTAATAGACTTTTGAGCGGTACTGTAGGTCTTTTTGAGACTTTTCTCAACAGAAAGATTTGCACATTTAGAATTCCATTATCCTTATTTAGTACGTCCCGACCGATTTTCAAAACAAAATCCCATATAAGGCCCTACTCGAGGCTATTTTTGTCTGCAAAAGACTTCAAAAAATTGGTTCGCTATAAAATAATCTGAGATTTGCATTGGATATCTGTTGAGTACGGTTACAGCAAGACGGAAGGATTTATTTTCTACTATTTATAGCTCCTCTCAAGCTATTTTTCGTTTGTATAGTCCGTTTTTCGGGACTTCTCTGCGCCCTCCTCGTCTCTCTAATACCCACTCTTGTTGACGCGCTATTTTTGCGTTTCTGTGACCTGGTGAGGGAACAGAGAGACGCAGACACGCGAAACTAAAGTCACTGCGGACGGACTTTGAAAGCATTCAAAAACTTTTCCTGGAGGATAGTCTCCAGCTTTTCAAAGGCTGTCATTTATACTTTGAAGAGCTGCTTTTTCTTTTTCTTTTCACTCCTGAAGCTTGAAAATTCTCTAACCCGCATAATTATCAGTGAAAGACTGATCCGGGGGCACGACTCGATAGAATAATTCGTCATGAAGCGTCAAATTGGCGATCGCGGCCAGCAGCCAGCAATTTCCCAACAATCCCTGTTTCACGTCGAATCTCGATTTATCGCCAACTATCAATTGAGGATCCGGCACAATTTCCTGTAGCTTCCTGCTTGAAAATTAATCTCTCTTTCTTCAGAAATACCCCAGGACGTTTCCAAATAATATTCCTGGTCGGCCTGCTGTTGAACAGGCTTTTATTGTTGGCTGGAAAGTCGGGGTCCTAAAAATTAACTCATTTTTAGCTCAGTTTAAAAAAAACGTCCAGTGCTTTAAAATCGTGAAAAGTATCTAGTGCTAGCTAGCGAAACTTAAGGGGTCAGAAAAACCGAAAGAAAATAGGAGTTTTTTCGGTGGAAATTCTAGGAACACGATCGGTGAAACTTACCAGCTGTAGAATATTGTTAAAAGACCCTAAATTTCAAAAAATTGGCTCAAAACTGCTGGAAATTCTTCTAATGACTTTTTTATTGAGCTATTCCTTTTTGGAATGAACTTACTACATATTTAGAATCCAAAGTCTCTCAAAAACCATTCGGAAAAAATCGAATAACTTTTCGAATTTACCATATTTTTGGGTACCTGTCAACCCGTGTGTACTGTTATTTTTCCGCCCATTTATTCCCTTTTTTTGAGAAAAATTGTCAATTTTCCTTCTTTTTAGACTTTCTATGTGTTACTTTAAACCGAGAAGCTTTAAATTTTTTAATTTCATTCTGTAAATTATTGAATTTTAGTCATTAAAATCGCTCCAAAAATCTTGAATTTTACTCAAAACAGCTTTTCTCAAATTTCCTAACAGAGAAGGTGTTTTTTTATTATTAAGCTATTCCTTTTTGGAATAAACTTACTACATATTTAAAAACCAAAGTCTCTTAGAAAGCATTCGGAAAAAATTGAATAACTTTTCGAATTTACCCTATTTTTGGGTACCTGTTAACCCGTGTATTGTTATTTTTTTCCGCCCATTTATTCCCTTTTTTTGAAAAAAACATTATCAAATTTCCTTCTTGTTAAACTTTCCACATGTAATTTTGAACCAAGAAGCTTCCACTTTCGTTGATTTTACTCCGTAAATTATTAAGTATTAGTCGTAAAAAAATCGCTCCAAAAAAATCTTGAATTTTACTAAAAACAGCTGTTCTCAAATTTCCTGACAGAGAAAGTGTTTTTCTTATTAAGCTATTCCTTTTTGCAATAAACTTACTACATATTTAGATTGCAAATTCTCTCAGAAACCATTCATAAAAAATTGAATAATTTTTCGAATTAACCCTATTTTTGGGTAACTGTCAACCCGTGTATTGTAATTTTTCCGCCCATTTATTTCCTTTTTTGAAAAACATTATCAATTTCCCTTCTTGTTAGACTACATGTTAAGTTTCCACTTTTTTTGATTTTACTCTGTGAACTATTTTTTATAAGTCCTAAAAATCGCTCCAAAAAAATCTTGAAATGTTCCCAAAACAGCTATTCTTAAGGTTCCTAACAGAGAAAGTGATTCCGATTCGCTTTTTTCGAAAGAACAAAAAGTTCAACCTCAAACAAGCTCTTCTCGGCCAGACATCTCTTCCTTTGCCGTTCGAAATCGCTCAGATCCGGCACGGCGATCGGCGTCGGCGGTGGCGGCCTCGGCGGCTTCACCTGGATTATACAATCTTCTTTTTCAGAGAAAAAAAAATTAGGATTATAGTAAGGTAAAAAGAAGGTCAGACTAGGCAGACAATAAAGCAAAAAAGGCCAGAAAGATCGGAAACAAGCTATTTGATCGTTCCTACAAAATGGTAAATAATGAATCTTGGACTTCAAAAATAATACTTTCTACCAAAGTTTCCAACGAGGCGTCCCGGGCCAACGCGCAAAGTTGAAAATGTAAAAAATGTAGGAAACTAGGGATAGAGTCAAGAAAAAAAAAATGCTCTTTTGTCAAAATGACCGCTTCACGGGTCGGGTCGCCCCGTGCGTGCCTCTATCATGAGTAGCTTTGTTTTCTAGTAAAATATAACGATATAAAGTTTCATAAAAGGGCATAAAAATCAATACAAACTATCCTTTTCATTCTAGAATCGGTCTTCATTAGAAACCCAATATAGTCTAAAAAAACCCCTCAAACAAAGGAAATGGAATTATTGAAACTTTTCCTCGTTGCCCGTAACACTTACGGCCAGAAAAGGAACCAAAAACCTTCCTAGAAAGCTACGGGAAAAAAATTATTTTCAAATTTTTCTGGAAACGCATTAAACTAGAAACACAAGAGAGCCTTATAAACTTCATAAAGTCGATAGAAATTGATAGATTTTGATTGATTGACACACCCCCTACTTGGCCCGTGACATCTTCGGTCCAAAAATGAACTTTAAAATTTTTTTCTTTTGGCTTACAATGGAGTCCAAAAGCCTTCTAAAAACAATGGGAACCGACTGATTGTTTAAAGATCTAAAACCCAAATCTAAAAAAATGCTTCAAGGAATATTCATAGAAGACGATACCTTTTGCAGCTTCTCCTTGTCCTCCGGCTTGACAACCGGTTCAAATCGATGCATCTAAAAGTTCTTTTCCAATAAATCCCTCTCAAATCTCCCAACTTTTCTCCGATATTTACCACTCATCATGTTATCAAGGACGATCTTTCCGGTGTCGCTCAGCCGGTTATGCCGGCCACCAAACCGGAAAAGGAAGTTGCCGGCGATCGCGCCGACAACACGGCCGGAATCCTTAAAGGGATCAGTCTTTTGATCAATCGATTTTTCGAACCGGATTGATCCGATGAAATCGGTGTTTCCGGTCATGGAATCGCTTGCTTTCCAGCTCATCAAAGCCGCCAAAGGAGAAAATGTTGGTCAGACCTGGAATTCAAATGTTTTTCTAGATCTCAGAATCTCCAAGTATTTTTTTCGAGAAGAACCAAAGAAAAATCGTAATTTTTCGCCTATGAAATGATTCAGAGATCAGGTTTCCTTGAGGAAAAAAATGCGTAACTTCATAAAAAAAAAACTCGGGGTATGAATAAAAAATTTCCACATTAAGATATTGTACTATAGATTTATCGAAAATGGATTAAATGTAGAGTTTTTTGAATTTTGCAGTTAGTAGTTTGTAGCCCCGCCCCCTGTAACGCCTTCCTACAGTACTCCAAGTAACAGTAATACTACAGTACTCCAAGTTATGGTTCTCACTCTAATATTCTTTCCTTTTCAGAGTTTTCAAGTATCTAAAACCGGTTCAAGTGCTACTTTGAAGGGATTTCTCGAGGATCCCGACAATAACTTGGAGTACTGTAGTATTACTGTAACCGCGAGGGGAAGGGCTTCAAACTACTGCAGTTCTCATGGAAATAGCCTTTTTCAGTGAAAAAATGACTTATACCATTTAAAAAATCTGGTTTTTGTGCCGGGCGGGCCCGTTTTCGCTTGAGACCTCCCTATGGTCGGGCCAGCCCTCGCCAAAGGTTGGGAGCTCAATTTTCAAGCCAACCGAGGCTCAAAATCACCTCTTCCTTTCCTGGCAAACTTTCGGATTTGGTTGAAGACCGCCTCCAGGTCGGAGCCTTCGAATCCGTCCATGGCGCCTGAAATCTTCCATTTTTTCTGAACCTCAATAATATTCAAGAGCATTAATGACTGAAAAAACTGACTAAAACCCTATATTTCACCTTTTTTTCTCATTACGGCGTTTAGAGGATCAAGAATAAGGGTCCCATCACGATTCTACTGGAAACTTTAGTGGTCATTTGAGGGTTCTGACGTTTTAGAGTCCACTATAATATTCAAACTAGTAGCCTCTTAAGTGGCTAAAACTTGGTGACCCCTTTAGAAGCCTTAGTAGTACTACTAGACCACTAAGACGTAGAATAGTGGCTTTAATAGAGGTGGTTTTAGTGGCCACTTAAGTGGCTAAAATTTAGTAGCCCCTTTAGAAGTCTTAGTGGTACTACTAGATCACTCAAAACTACTTTAGTGGTCACTTAGACGAAGAATAATGACCTCTATTCAAATGGCTACAGTGTCCTCTCCAAGTAGTCCGTCAGAACCTCTTAAGTGGCCGCTCGAATTTAAAAAAAAAATAAAGAGGTATAAAGCCGACACTGGACGAAGCCGATTTTCGAACAAAAAAGATCTTTAAAAAATCTCAGAATCTCAGAACCCGACTAAATGATCCCGCCACGATCCTACAGTAATCCGATGAAAGACCGACTTTTGAAACAGGACCGGAACTTGTGGCCTTTCCTGCCGCTGCGGCAAACCGGAAGAGCCATGACGTCACAGGGGTCCCGATCGGCATCCTCGTCGGGCTCATCTTGATTTGGAAGCTCGTAGGTCAGCTCATAGCCGTTTTGGAGCTCGTGAGGCTGCTCCAGCTCATTTTTCTCGTAGCTCAGCTCAAAATCTGAGGAAAAGACGTGAAATTTCAAGGTCCAATAAATTTTAAAAAAAATCCTAAAAATCAAGAAAAACAGTACCTCCAACTTGTCCATTCCTAGCCATTCCCTTGCGACCTGAGACGTTCAAAATGAAGATAAGCGACAACAAAAAAAACGTGTTGGGGAAAACAAATGACGTGAAAGAGTGATATCATGGCGATGAGTCATTCTGTTGAAAACCACATTTCTTATATTTTGAGACATTTTTGGAGGTTTTCAAGGCTTGAAGTTAAATTTTGCAATAGTAAATAAGATGAGAGCCCTAGAAAGACCACTTGAAAATAAAATGATTCGCAAAAAGTCCTGAAAATTGGCGAAAAAATGCCGTCCAGAAAGACTGAAACACCTTTAATTTCCAAGTGCTCACTTTAGGGATTTTTGAATGTTTCCAAGGCTTGAAGTTCAATTTTGCAATAGTAAAAGAGATGAGAGCCCTGGAAGGACCACTTGAAAGTAGAATAATTCGCAAAAAGCTCTGAGATTAGACAAAAAATGCCGTCCAGAAAGACGGAGACACCTAAAATTCCCAAGTGCTCGCTTTAGGGATTTTTGAATGTTTCCAAGGCTTGAAGTTCAATTTTGCAATAGTAGATAAGATGAGAGCCCTGAAGGGACCGCTTGAACTTAAAACACATTGAAACGAGTTCAGAGCATGAGTTTATCCAAGAGCACTGAAACACCTTCAACTTCCAAGAATTCAATTTTGGGATTTTTTAAGTTTTTCAAGGCTTGAAGCTTAATTATGAAATAGTTATTAAGAGAATAAATACAATGAGAGCCCTAGAAAGACCACTTGAAAATAGAGTGATTTCCAAGGGTTCTGAGAAAGACTGAGACATCTCTAATTCCCAAGTGCTCACTTTAGGGATCTTTGAAGGTTTCCAAGGCTTGGGGTTCAATTTTGCAATAGTAAATAAGATAAGAGCTCTAGAAAAACCCCTGGAAAACAAAATAATTCGCAAAAAGTTCTGAGAATAGGCAAAAATGCCGCGCAGAAAGGCTGAAAAACCTTTAATTTCCAAGTGCTCCCTTTAGGGATTTCAAAATAACTTTTGAAAGCTTCATGCACTCATGACCTCAAAATTTGATGAGAACCTTCCAAAAAATAAAAATAAACTTTAAAAACACTACTTCAGCAAAAAACATCTCAGAAGTTCAATTTTAACAAGGATCGTGAGGAAAAAAGCTTCAAAATTGTACAGAAACTCTGAAAAAGCTCAACAGGCTTTCAAGTATCCCCTTAAGTGTTTTCAATATTTTTTAAAAATCGAAATATTCGAAACTTTTAATAAGCCAAATACCTCGTCAGATTTATTTGGAACACAGAAAAAAAAAGGAAATTCCACAAAAGCCCTGAAAAAGTCAAAAAGTGCCTCGAGACTTCATTTGAAACCAGGAACTTGAAACAAAACTCTTGATTTCTCTGGAAAGCCGAAGAAAAGTCTTTAAGCTTCCAGTTAGTCTGTCTTTCCTTTTTCCCGAAACGTAATGAATGAAACATGGGCTTTCTTTCCGGCCGGAGGCCAAAAAGAATCAAAGTGGCTGAATGAGAGTAGTTGAATTCGAGGATAAATTCACTCATGAAACTCGGAAAATCCGAATCGGATGAAATTAAACCTTCAAAAAAGTCAGGAAGACTCTTTCAAGCTTGTTTTTTAACCTCTTGAATAACCCTATAGTTACTTACCGAGATCGATCACTTAAAAACACTCATTTCAAGCCATAAACTTATTCAAAAGCTCAAAACCCTTAAGCTACCACAAACCCAACCAACCAATGTCTTTTCTCGAAGCTCAAACTCCTAAAGCTACCCCTAAACCAATCAATATGAGACAAAAACGTTCAGAAGACATATTTCGGATCAGGAACTTGCCCAGAAGATCAAAAAAAACCCTATAGCTACCACTAAACCGACAAAAATAAGTCTTATCCAGAGCCTCAAAATCCCTTAAGTTGCCACTAACTAAAAAACAAGTCGATAACGCTTTGAAGACTTATTTCGGACCAGGAAACTACTCAGAAGCTCAAAAAACCCTGAAGAAAGCACTGAACCGACAAAAATAAGTCTTATTCAGAAACTCGAAAATTCCTCGAGGTATCACTAAACCAACCAAAATGAGTCAAAAACGCTTTGAAGATTTATTTTGGGTCAGGAAGCTTCTCAGGAGCTCAAAAACCCTAAATATGCCACTGAAGTAAACTGAATAAAAAAGAAACTGAATCTTATTCAGAAGCTCGAAAAACCCTAGAGTTACCAGTACACCAAGCAACACGTGTCAAAGACGTTCAAAAGACTTCTTTCGGACCAGGAACTTGTCCAGAAGCTCGAAAACCCTGAAGTAAGTACTAAACCAAACAAATTAAGTTTTTTCCAGAGGCTCAAAGCTCCAAAGTAACCGTTGTGCCAACCGACATAAGTCAAAAACGCTTTGAAGATTCATTTTGGGTCAGAAATCTACTTCTTCTTCTTCTACTCAGAAGCTCTCTAAAGTCACCACTAAACCAACAAAAACAAGTCGATAACGCTTTGAAGATTTATTTCGGACCATGAAGCTACTCAGAAACTCAAAAAACCCTATAGTTACCACTAAATCAACCAACATGATTCAAAGACGTTCAGAAGACTTCTCTCGGACCAGGAACTTGTCCAGAAGCTCAAAGAACCTCAAAAACTCCCACTCAATCATCCTTTTTTCTCAAATCTCAATTAGCAAGAAGAAACATTGGGTCTCTCCTCGGCGGGGGGCGAAATCAAACCGCCGAGGCGAATCAAAAGCTTCCGGCCTCCTGAAGTAGTTCTGACGGAGGTCGTCCAAATAACACCCAGGGGAGATTTGAACTGAAAGCCAGCAAAAAAGGGAAGCCGACGTCATCGATTCCGATGTCATCCCATTAAGGCGAGACACCAAATTGATGGAAATGGGGGGCGGAGCTTCGCGAGGTGCAAAATGAAAGAAAGAGTATGGCGAAATGAGATGGGTGAGTCATCGCGAAGGCTTTATTTTGGCTTTTTTTGGGAAATAATTATGAAAAATTGCTATAATAAGGGGAGGTGAGTCATCGCGAAGGTTTTATCTTGGCCTTTTTTGGGAAATAATTATGAAAAATTGCTATAATGAGGGTGGGTGAGTCATCGAGAAGCTGGACTGGGCGTCATTTAGGTAATTCTTTGAAATTTCAGTCTTACTGAGAAATCTGAAGCTTCATCTATTTTTCGACTTATTGAAATATAATCAATGAACTTCCAAGAATTTATCTATCTCATTTTTACAAAAAAATTAAGGTTTCATGATATTTTACAGTGTTAGTTTGACTACAGGTTGACTAATTTTTTTAAAATAAAATTTCGATTTGTCTTAGTTTATCTACAATCACTTCTACAGACTCGTCCAAAAATATGATCTTAAAAAAAGTCAAAAAAATATCCAATTTAGCAATTTAAAAAAATTAAATTTTTAAGTCATATGAAATTCCTCAAATCTGCTACTGCAGAAAAATCAAAAAAAGGGTTTTTTTGGACTTTGAACCTCAAGAAAGCCAGAAAATATTAATAAATCCAGGTGAAATCCAGAAAAATTTTTTTTAAAAATACAACTTTTTGATTCATCAGAAATGCATCTACGTCTACTTCGCACACCCTTTCCAAAAACTAGAAAAAAATTTTTTTGTTCAAATTTCATTTTCTCGCAATTTTTTTCTATAAAAAAAGCAAGAAAAATCAGATTCCGGTAGAATTCAGTTGTGTTCCCAGAATGAACTTTTTTTGAGCCATTTGGAATATTTTTTTAGATCAAATTCTTTCCAAAAAAAGGAATAATAATTTTTCATTTTGTCTCAAATTTCTACTCAAAAAAGCCAAAAAAATAATTTGAAATCCACACGGAATTCAGCAATTTTTTTAGAAAGAATAAAATTTTTTTCGAGTCATCAGAAATGCATCTACGTCTACTTCTGCACACTCCTTTCAAAACCGAGAACAATAATTTTCATTTTTTTTCCTAATTTTCCATCAAAAAAAGCCAAACAAATCAGAAAAAAAAATCCAAACGAAACTCACTAATTTTTCGAAAATGAAATTTTTGAGTCTTATGAAACTCATCTACGTCTACTTCTGCACACCTTTTTCCGAAATCGATAAGAAAATTTTCATTTTGTCCCAATTTGTGTTTAAAAAAAGCCAATAGTTAGAATGAATCTGAGCTAAATTCAGTGTTTTTCGCAAAAAAATAAAAATTTTTTTCGAGTCATTAGAAATGCATCTACGTCTACTTCTGCACGCTTTTTTTTCCTTAACTAAGAAAAAAATTTTTTTCAAAAACGCAAAAACCAAATTATCCGTACAAATCCACACAAAACCCATCAATCCGGCTTCAATCGCCTAGATTCGAATAAATTCAAAAAACGACAAAAACTCCTCCTTGGCAAGCTCGAAAAATTCGAAACGTTCGTTGTTTATGAATTCGAATGGGGGGATGGCAAAGTGCAAAAGTTTGAAACAGAGGAACAGAGCCGTTCGCCTTCTCAAATTGCTTTTTCTTCGTTTTTCTCAAAGAGAAATTGAAGGATTGCCGTTTCTTTCGGTTCTTTTCCCTGTGGAATCTGGGAGTTTCAGTGTTTATTTGGGAAGTTCAATTCTTTAGGACGGGAAAAAATGAAGTAGTCATTTAAGAAGTGAAGAAAACCCATGAGGGGGGTGTTTGAAGGATTACTCCCTTTAGTGACCACTTCAGTTAATTTGAACTTAACCGATAGTTCGATCTCCCGAGTGATCCCGATTTTCCCCCGCTGGATCCCGAATTTCTCCCGCAGGTCCCGAATTTTCTCTCGCGGAATCCCACTTTTCTACTGCGGGATCCCGGTTTCCTCCAGCTAGATCCGCATTTCCACCCGCTGGATCCCGAATTTCTCCCGAGGAATCCCGAACTTCTCCCGCGGAACCCGATTTTCTCCCGCTGGATCCCGATTTTCTCCTGCGGATCCCAGATTTCTCCCGCGGGGTCCCGAATTTCTACCGCGTGATAAAATGCCAAGTGAGTTGGGCTTGAAATTTTTCCCCAAAAAAAC